TCTATACTTCAAAACTATATGAAATTGTTAACAGTACATTAAACGAAAAAAATATAACAGTTTTATTTGTCAAAACATTAGCGCCCTCTTACGCTGAATTACGATTCAAGGGTCTTTGAGTGACATTTTTAAAGATTTGAAGTGACCATAATAATATTATGTAATACATAAAAGGATTATAAGTACGTTAGTCTAAAAGGACATATAAAGCTGATTTTTAATTTTAATGTTCGTGTATAGCTTTGTTTCTTTTCAGAGTTTTTTCAAAAAGTTAAGACGCATATCTTAAGGTTTTGTTTTTTTAATATGTCATTTCATAGACATTGTAAAAGAGTAAAATGAAAATCTGTCTTTGATTGTCATCACTGACAAATAACTCTAAACTTCAATAAATAGAAATGTTTTAAAATATATAAATAAATTCAATCATTCATCATCAGAAAGTGTAAAAACATGTTTATTCCGTACAAAGTTTAGATTGCAATGCAATGTTAAATTAAAATGAAGATACCGTATTTAAAATGTAGCAAAAAACCACAAAAGAGTCAAACATCGAAAAGGATACAATTTCATATGCCGGTCAAGAATATTAATTTATCTTTGGCGAAGAATCTGTTAATAATACTAGCATATACGTTGGCTAATATATTCTCAAGTGATTATCCTTTGATGACTGGATTTATGGTTATATTGGGACATGTTTTAGCAATAGCATCCGATTCGTGGTCTGTTTATAGCAATTTAATAAATACAAATGAATCTGATGACTGCGCGTCGCATATGTTCTTCGTTATCGCAAATATATTTTCAATAATTGGCGAATATAAAGAAATAGAAACAACGTTACTACATCAAGTAATAGTATGAGAAGTTACGAATAATTTACACGTATTTAGTTACATAGAAGTTTTAAAATAATGTTTGTCAAACATCAGTAGCAATTATAAAATAAAATTTAGTTAATAGATTATTTTAATTAATAAAAAAATGAAAAATAAAATTATAATTTGTTTTACTATATTATGAGAAGAAAATATTCAAACCAAACAATTCTTTAGTGTGTAAAATGTAAAATTATTGGTTAAAAAAAGTCAAATCATTTTAATTATTTTAAAGTTTATAGAATGAAACTGACTTGTGATATAATTGTAATTTGAAAAACACATTTTATTTGAGAGATAAATTTGAATTGTTTGCATGGTTAAGTCATGTTGACGTGAGAATATTAAAATAAATCTCTTTTACACCCACTTAGGGTTTCTGTTGAAAAGAAATTGGGTGCGACATTTTTAAGTCATAACTTAACTCAGAGTTATCGAATGGTTACTTAGGCAGTACCTTAATGAAAATTTTTAACAAATCTACGAAACTTACGTACGCCCGACACATTATATTTCATTGATTTTTTCTAATTTTTTTAACATATATTATTTTCTTACTTTTGAAGTTATAAAATTAGATTATTAAGGATATAAAAGCGAACACAGCAATATCAGAAGTAGGATCGATGGAGGTTCAAAATGTGCGACACTTTCATGTCGCGAAGGGTGCTCGGTCGAGGTGAGGGTGCTCAGTGCTCCACCACATCGGACACTTTCGTTTTGTCCTTACCATTAATGTCAAATCGCATGAAAGTCGACGCATTTCTTAAAAAAACATTGTTGTATTCAATTTTATTGATATAAAATCAGGCAGCTCGACCGATTTTTGAAAGATTATTCAACTTAAATTTCCATGAGTTCCAATCCATCGCCATGTTATTATAAAATATAAGACACGTTCAAGTAACTAAAATTATGTAAAACAACGCTTGATTACAAATAAATCGTAAATCAAATTCATTGCCCATTCAAAAATCGGTAGCGTCTATGTTGTAGATACAATTGAGATATAAAGAGATTAGTGTATATTTAATTTATTCTGTTACCAACCACATTGTAACTTATAATTTGTTGCAAATTACAAAAAAGCCGTATCGTGCAATGTTAAGTAAAGTTTCTTAAAGGCATCTAAACAAAGACGCACTCACTGTCATCTTAACTTCCGATTACTGGACGCTGAGAGCGAGGGAGAATTACTAAGCAGTAAATAACGTTGAGGAAACTTTCACTTCAATTAAATAAATAAAATAGAAATAAAAGTATTACAATTTACCCCACATGGGTTGGAAAAAACATTTGTAGAGCCTTTTACATTAAAAAAAATTACGTTTAAATCATGTTAACAATTTGCCAATAATCTTTTTCACTCAAACCCATTGATGGATATAATTATGAAGTCGACTAAAAATTATTCGCTACCAAAGTGGTAACTTGTAATTTTAGCTAGCTTGTATTATCTAGATTCACAAGAATATACGTAACTTAAATAGACTTTTAGCTACTTATGCTAATTCTGGTTCATTAAACTTATTTAATTTTTGACTTTTGCATAAAATTAAACGTAATTAGTTACTAGGTACGCTTGTCCGGTTGTCCTACATTAGATTTAAGACTGACTAGGGACGATTTCGATCCGTTTCGTTTAATTCATTAGAGAATTTTAAACACGTGAAGGTTTGGTCACAACTAAAAAACAAATGAACATTTAATGGCATACGAAAATTAGGAGATACGTTTTGAATTTCAGTGCATTTTTCGGTTGCAATAAGATTGCAAATTGACCAAACGATGGTAAATCTTTTGTTATAAAATTAATTTAATCTTTTCTAAATAACTTAACTTATTTTATTCATAAATATAATAATTATACTAAACCACTTTATACAGTATTCTCAAGCAGTTTTAATTTAATTAATTTTGTAAGTGCTTTAGACGAAATTGCCCTAAATCTGCGTTTAAATCTGTTGAGCCAACTGAAATACGAAGATGAAAATTCAATAACTTGATAGAAGTAGCATACGCCTACCTCTTGCTAATCTAATTATTAGGATAGCACTTATTTATAACTGTTAAACACATAAATTTATTCACTTAGTTGTGGTGACTTAACAGTGTTAGAGTCTACAAAACAAACATCTGTTACCGAATGAGCCGACTCGTGGAATACAATGACACCAAAAAGTCATGAAAAAGTATTCTGTCTATCAAATTACATTTCTACAACTATTTTGATCAGCGTCCACTTCGCTTTAGGGAATACTAAGTAATCGTTTGCTTGTTTGCCATCTCGTATAAAGTCTATCTCATCATCATCAGCTCACTATTCGTCCCCACCGAGGGGCTCGGAGTCTAGCCTAAGTTAAGGGTGATTAGGCCACAGTCAACCACGCTGGCCAAGTGCGGGTTGGTTTGACTTCACACATATCTTTGAATTATTTCTCAGATATGTGCAGGTTGCATCACGATGTTTTCCTTCGCCGTAAGAACGTCGGATAAATGTACATATGTAAATCGAAAAACACATTGGTACATGGCGGGATTCGAACCCAGGACCTGCTGATTGCAAGTTAAGTGCTTGACCACTGAGCCACCGCCCTTCCTAAAAAAAAATCTATCTATCTAGTTTAATTTAACAAAATAAGTAAATGTAGTTCAAATTTCAAAATGCTCAACTAACTGTAACGAAACTCATCGACCCCGGAGAACGTGCAATCAAGAATCATTCAAAGAAGACGCCAATCACGGCTTATCAAGCCTATAGCTACAACCTAGATACATGGGCCGCTGCACCCAGTTACACTGTATTGAAACTATAAAAAAATCTTCACACATAATTTAAAAGTGTTAGATGTGTTTATTTCTTTCCTGTTGTTATTTTCTCCGTATTCTTTGTTATATTTCATAATATTTTATGAAGTTTTTGATACCTCAAATTTATCTGTTGTATTATGTGTTCAAGTTAGTACTACAAATTAATTTCAAAATTAACTTATATTTTATATGTCTTAAATATGGCCACGAAATTAGCAAGATAATTATCATGTATGTATATCTAACAGAAGATTAATTTGAACTATTATTGTCTACTATAATTCTTGTAGATAACATAAATCAATTTTACCTTATGCCAGGATTTGAAAGGGCATTGGAAATACGTTTCATTTCCTCTATTTCGCAGTGACCTCGCACAGATTAAGTCCGATTAGTGTGAGGTGTGCGACGAAACGATTCAAACTATGGATACCAATATGGATATTAAAGTTTACATATATTTATTGGATACATAAGTAACTTTTGGATATCTGGTTAAATTTGTGAAGACGCTTTTAGCAATTTGCTCTTACTACAAATATACAGTATAATAATGGAGACATGACATCGACGTTTAAATCCGACTGGAATAGGATTCTTTTAAAATTAGTTCTCATTCGTTCCAAGATAACTATGCCTTTTGTCATGTTTGGTTACCTCATAGTTACAGTTTAGAGAAAAAAGATTTTTTCCTGTTTGTCTTTACCCTCTCTGTATCGTAAATCGTTAAGAAAACCTATTTATAAATATACCTTGAAAGATATACTCCTACCGTTACCCAAGATAGTGTGCAACATTTTAAATGTTAAGTTATATTTCTAAAGCTTTTAAAAGAAAATAATTATAAAAAAATACACACAGAAGTCCGCTGTTTAACATAACTCAAATACCATAGTAAAATACTGGGCTCGATGCCAAAGTTTTAGTGTACCGTCTTGTAAAATCAAAACCGTTAACGTTGCAATATGAAATATTTAATATACATGCAATTATATTAAATGCATATTCAACTACAACGATTATACAAAATGCTGATTCAGTTTCAATAATAACGGACCTCATTGTTTCTTGGAATATTGATATATTTAAGTCTTTTCCTTTTATTTTCAATATATAACAATTTCTTTTAAAAAAAATACGTATTGATGCTTATTGTTTGTGAAATTGAGTTTTGATGAATTTGTTTTTTGTATACTCCTATGACGATCTTTATTACTTTTAACTTACAGTATCAAAAAAAAGGCAAGATATTAAAAAATCGGAGACGTTTTGATGCAACGTATTTCGATGTAATATTTCTGTCAACAGATGCTTGAAAGCTGACGCAAAAGGAGCAATTTATTTGACAACTAAAAACGGAACATTTCCCATATCACTCACATCTCTGAATTCCCAAGATGACGCGCCGACGCAAGACGCTGCAAGGATTTTCTCGGCAACCACTAAAAATGTCACAAGTCTCCAGTGGGATGACATCTCCGATGATCTATTGTTCACGAATTCAAACGAAACACAAGATTATGACAACGTTTGGAAAAATAATCAGAAAAGAAGCATCAATGACGCGGTATCGAGAAACATAACGTTGGTTTTAGAGAACTTGCTGAAAAACTATGAAAATTCTCAACTACCCACACATGGAAAAGGTAACATCCATGTAGTTTGTAGTTCTAGGATTTTATCGTAAAATGTAAGCTTTTGTTTTACAATCGCAAAATAATAGAAAGAAAAACATTTATTTTCAAAGAGTTAAATGTGTTTTATATTTTTAAATAAAATTTTAGAAATCCAATAAAATTTCTCCTATTCAAATATAACAAAAGTCGTTACCTTGACCAGAAGCGCTATCGATGTCAATGCTTTGTTTGTTTCATAAATATTAAAATAAAATCAAACACGACATCGTATTGTTCTCGATATTTGTTTAAAAGCGTTCTATTCAAATTAAATCACACCTAGATCGTGCAAAAATTTGCATGCTCGAAGCGCGCATACATAATCTTATTGAAGTATACTAGTGACTGAGCGTCGGTGGCTCAGGGGTGAAGCACTTGACTTGCGATCTGCAGGTCCTGGATTCGAATCCCGCCATGTACCAATGTGTTTTTCGATTTCCGATTTCCTTATGTACATTTATCCGACGTTCTTACGGTGAACGAAAACATCGTGATGTAACCTGTGCATATCTGAGAAGAAATTCAAAGATATGTGTGAAGTCAACCAACTGGGCCAGCGTGGTTAACTATGGCCTAGTCGCCCTTAAGTTAGGGTAAGCTCCGAACCCCTCGGTGGGGACGTGTAGTAGCTGATGATACTAGTGACTAGTAGCCTCGCATCATTCAAAGAGAGACTAAAATCATTGCTTGTCCAGAAAGCTCTGTATTCATATTAAGAATTTTTGAAAAAAAAAATGATTTTTTATTTGTAAATCGCTCTCATAACTTGTATTGTAAACGTTACCGATAAATTTTATTCTATTATTTTGTATCTTTTGGTCTTTAATTATGATAAGAGACCATTATTTTACATCCCTAGTATCTCTTTAAGTCCCTGAAAATCTGTTACACTAAGAAAGAAAAAGAATAGTATAATTTTTCGCCATCTTCAATTAATTGAATTAAGGATTTTGTAATTGGCAAGAACTTGTACTAACAATATTTTTTTTCGCAGGTTACCCAACTGTCGTTCAAACAAATATTTTAATCCGAAGTATGGGACCAGTTTCCGAACTTGATATGGTCAGTGAGATAAATATTTATGTAGACATAATCAAATCCTATTACTTTGTAAGGATTTTCCCTTGAAATCGGCTCACAAATCGCATCGTCCTGTATTTAGTAACGGTCCACTAAATACTTTCAAAAGGAATAAGTTTTTCTCTCCAATACTCTTCGTTTACTCTTCAATACATTCGAACCTTTTTATTCACGTAATGACTTTACTAAAGTATAGCTACATATTTATTTAAACGCTGTTGATATTTATAAGAACAGAAAAAAATAACGAAAGGGATATATTATTTAGTACATAGTCTAAGGGTGAGTAGCATCAACTAACTATAACCATAACCTTGACATTGGTTAAATCTTTGGTTGCGCAAAAATTCGTTGCACCATTTTAACGATCGTCAAATTGACGTCATATTTAACGCTAACTATAACCACTCAATTTTGGATGGTTACGGCTAGCGTTAAGGTTAGTTTGTGTCAGTAGCGAAGTGTGTATGTCAACTGTCACAATTTCAACTCACCCTAAATAAACCGAAATTTTCCGACTACGCGTTAATGTTATTAGCCACGTATACTTCTATGTACCATATAAACATTTGTTTTTTTTTTCATTTTTAAGTACGTTACGCTGCCATTCTTTATCTTTGTAACAAATTTTCTATTCCAACAGGATTACTCAATGGATTGTTACTTCAGGCAGTACTGGCGTGACACGCGCCTCTCGTTCCTCGGGCCAATTCGTTCCTTGTCCCTGTCCATCAAAATGCTGGAGAGAATATGGCGGCCCGACACGTACTTCTACAACGGAAAGCACTCCTACGTCCACACTATTACTGTTCCCAATAAATTATTACGTATCAGTCAACATGGAGATATATTATATTCTATGAGGTTAATTTTTGTTAACCGTATTATGTATTTTCAAAGACAAATCATAATCCTATAGAAAATAGTAAATACATCATTCTTCGAATGTTCAATGAAATTTTTAAATGCATTCAAAAAAATGAAACAGTGAATTAATTTTAATAATAAATGAAAGAAATCTAATGTAACGTCCGAAGAAATTATAAGTTGTAGTGAGTGATAAGCAACAAAAAATAAATAAAAATTAAAGTCTACCCTTGTTCGCCCATGCTAATAAGGAGTTATTAAAAGAAAAATCTAATCAAGATCTTATAGATGGGTTATAATTAATTTTATAGAGTTGTTAATCAAGATGGCGTCCTATTTTTAATTGGCTGTATGCAAAATGAAAAATTCTCAGCTCTTATTACAAGAGGCACTTGTTCATTTGGTCACAAATTGCTATGAATCTCATTTACAAATTAATTAGTATTAAAATTACTTTAATATGAATGCGTAATTTTAGGCTTTTATTAATTTTTATCATTCGTAATTTTAAAAGTAATTAAGCTTTGATAAAAAAATCATAAATTTTAATAATCTTACATAATTTTAGGGATTAAGGGACTAAAAACGGTATACACTTTTGCACAAGATTGCAATTAAAAAAATCTTTAATTCTATTTTAAATAGCACTGAATTGATCTGCAACAATATCGTTTAATGGACATTCTAAATTTAAACTCAACGAACGTGTAATCGCTTTAAAAGGAATTGATTTGATATGCCAGTTTCACTGTAGCACACAATAGAGCTTACGAAGGATTTGATCGTAATCCTTTCACAAAACTCATTTCAACATCACTAAATGAGGCAGTTCCGTCTAACACAGTCGTAATTTACAGATTGACGATCAAAGCGAAATGCCCGATGGAGTTGCGTAATTTTCCAATGGACAGGCAGTCTTGTCCCCTTATCCTCGGAAGTTGTAAGTATTGTATTTTATTTTTAACAATATAAGCAAAGAACATTCAATTTAAAAGCTGCCATTAAAAGTATTACCACCGAATGTTGAAGTTTGAATTGAAGAATTTAGTTCGAAAGATTATTTAGAATTCTAAATAATTATTATCAAATATAAATCAAGTTTCATGATATATTTTTATTACCTGTTATTTACTATAGAGTTGAAAATATTTTTCATAATATTTTTTCTAGACGCGTATTCGAACCAGCAACTAGTGTATCAGTGGCAGAACTCAGAAAGTGTTAACTTCGTGCCGGGCATGACGCTCTCTCAGTTCGACCTCATTAGTTATCCTTATCGAAACTTCACCTTTACAAGAAGAGAAGGTAAGTAAACAGTGTTAACTACCAACACATATTCATAATATTATGATAAGCTTTCATCTTGTTACATTATTGGAACATTTCTTCATAAAATACTAGCGTTTGAATTATAATAGAACTTTGAACAGAAGATCAAATGTTTGTTATATATTTTCTATCTTTAAATCATTATCTCTTTTTTCACTGTATTATATAGTACTTGCTTCTGTCTGCCACTTCGTTTGCGCGGAATTAAAAAAAACTTAGTAAATAGTCTATGTATCCTTCAGATTATGTTCTAGATCTATGGTCAATTTCAGCTAGTTCCATTAAAGTGTACGGAAGATTCCTAATAACATACGTCCATCCATCTAAATTTGAACATTTATAACATTAGTAAGAAGTTATAGAAGTTTAATAGCTATTATAAACCATTTCCATAATACGTTTCTGGTAATATTTATCCTTAATCTATTCAATTTAAATCATAAATGTACTTCTTAATAACCTATTCCAATATGTTTCTATTGATATAATTGGTTCTGCCCTATACTTATGTATTTACATAGACAAGGGCGACGAACTTGTTTATTACGTCGCCTATACAAATAGAAAATACTTTGGGGTAACATAATTTTCTTATTAACGTTACTATAGATGTTTTTGTCCGTACAAAAGATTATTGATTGCGAAATAGTGGAGCGATTTGTTAGCGACGGATACTTCAATCAATCGCCTTTAGTAACTTATTATTATAAGTTTTTGTACTCAGACCAAATAATCAAATGTATTCTTACTTTATTGAAAGTTATTCTACTAAAGAAGCAGTTATCTCGAAAGTCAATATTAAAATATCACAAAAGGTAAAAAAGATGTTTTGGTATATCTTAAACAATAATCTTAATGTACATTATCTTAACCTTAAGTCGACAAACTTAATCTCCAAGGCACTTAGTAAGCCTACAAGGCCATAACTATTTCTGAAAGCCGCAGAAACTTTATACGGTCTGATAATTTGTACTTTGACGACTTCTATTGGCGACTTTTCTTTTTTTACGTTGACTATTTAGCAAAATTAACCAAGATATTGAATGGTTAAAGTATTAACGATAGATTTATCTATCTTGCCTTTTACGCATTTACACGAAAATTTTATCGAAATCCTTGTTGACGTAATATCCCTAAAAGCTTTTAAATGAGCCTTCTAACCTTACAAAGCGTTTACACGTTTTTTGATTTCCAATATAAAATATTATCTGATTTTTCTCCCCCAAGAGCTAATGTATAGCGAACGACAGGACTTACTGCATCGACACGAATCGGCTTTTACGCTTTACGGACATACATTTTATGTAACTTGAAAAGACTTGCGGCGAAAACTGTTACTGATTTTATGTACGAAATGTTGTCTTAGGTAGTATTTAATAGTGACAACGCGAATAGGAATGCCACCTAGTTAACCTTTAAGTTTTTTCTGACGTCTATGGGCTAAGTGACAGCGGCCACTTCCTTATTTTAAGCGAAATCATAGCCGTTTGCTTTTTTGCCATCTGTTACTACAAAAAAACTAACTTAACTAATAAATGTCAATCAGAAGCAATAGCTTAAACCCTTAGTATGAACGCACGGAATGCAATTATATTTTATATTGAAAATAAAACTTTTATTACTATGTAGATGTATTCAACTTCCTCCCACAGGAGATTTCTCCGTGCTGCAAGTGTCGTTCAATTTGCAACGTCACACGGGCTATTTCCTCATTCAGGTCTACGTGCCTTGTATCCTCATTGTTGTGTTGTCTTGGGTGTCATTTTGGATTCATAGGGAGGTATGTATATAAACAGTTTTAGCATTTTAAGATAAATTTCCTTGTGTTTTATTACATCTTTATATAATTTCAATTAAATAAACAAATATTCCTTTCTAATTGATACTTCATAGATAGAAAAAAACGTATTATATAATATATATAATACTATTCTTTAACATATATTTGTCTAACTCTCCAGGCAACATCAGATCGCGTTGGTTTGGGAATAACAACAGTTTTGACTCTATCAACAATCAGCTTGGATTCCCGAACTGATCTACCCAAAGTTCGTTACGCGACTGCTCTTGATTGGTTTCTGCTAATGAGTTTCTTCTATTGCATCGCCACTTTGTTGGAATTTGCTGGTGTGCATTACTTCACCAAGGTAAAGAATAAATGTATCAAGTATCCACCTTTAGCTTTGACTTAGACATTAAGAATTCTCTTCTACCATCTAAAGTGCCAGATGTCTACAAAAATATTATTTGTATAATTTTTACAGTACAAAGTTTTAATTTCCTTCAGGTTGGCTCTGGTGAAATAGTAATTGATGATTCCGAGTGGGAGGAGTTAATAGAGGAAGTGGGAGGTGATGCGTTCGCGGCAAGGCAGCTAGCCGCGCGGCGTCGAAGCTCCTCACGATCTGCTACTAATTGTGTAAGCAAATTATCAACATCTTCCTGCTCTTATCCTTTCGGAACTTCGACCAGAATGTATTACTCTTCCATACATCTAAGGAAACTAATACGAAGTAAAAAAAAGGGGAGTACTGAAGTCATGTTAAGTGACTCTCTAAAAAACAGATTATTCTTTACAGAATTTCTCCTTACCGTCACAAGGCGCGTGCGCTAGTGAAGGCGAGGACCTACCCGCACCGGAGCAGACATCGGTGCGTCTGACTATGGAGCGAACTACGCAGACCGAAAGGAGAGTGCCGCGCTGGAGGCAGCTTCTCTACTGCCTCGCGGGGGACGACCGCTACCGGAGGCAGAGGCAGATTGAGGCCGGTAAGTTATCTCCACTGAACTACTAACATGACAATGTATTTCACAAATTAAATACAGATAAATTATCCACTATATCTCTATGGATTGGAGTACATAAGTTCAATTTCAATTCTTTAACTGTCACTAATTTATGTGCCGTAGTTAAAGTGGTGGAACCACATCAATTACTAACAACCTACCCTACCATAACAACGAAATAATCCCAATATGCTTGAATCTTCTTGAAAGAATTTTTATTGGAGCTTTCTTAACAATTTCTTTTATTTTTTTCTATCTGTATGTTTGTGTAGGCAAGCGCGGTCACATCAACAGCGTGTCGCACATCGACAAGGCGGCGCGTGTGCTGTTTCCTGCTTCATTTGCACTACTCAACTTCTTCTATTGGATGATATACGCGTTATCCAGTGACGACTTCGCGTGGAGCGACAACCCTATCAACACTCTGTCCCATTAAATAAACTTCGATAGTTTGAACAGCCGAGAAATAAGATTAAGCCACTAAAGTAGTTTTTAAATGTAGTAATCAAATATAATACATATTAGAAGTATGTGAATATATTCAAATGCATAAAAAATGAAATTGCTTAAAACCTGATTATAATATACTTCATACTAGCTATCGCCCGCGATTCTGTCCGCGCGGGATGGAAAAATTTAATTTGTAGCCTATATGTTCTAGACTATGTGCCAAATTTGAAATAAATAGGAGGTAATTCTAGCTACTGAATATACATACAAAATATAAAAATTGGTCAAGCCGTTTCAAAGGAGTTTGACAACAAACATTGTAACATAAGAATTTAATATACAAGAAGATTGCCAAAATATTAAGTGATATGATAAATTATTGCTTTGAAATTGTTATTCAATAAAACTCGATTCAGATCATCATACAATATATTAGGTTTTCATTACGGGATAAAACAAACGGTTTGGAGTATGCTCTCTAAATATACAATACAATGTAACATTAAAATAACTGTTCTTTCAACTTAAAAATTCTACGTTGACTTCAAAATATCATAGCCATAAATATGATAAACCTTCGCAAAACCAAAACATACAAATAAAACATGTTTTTTCAACTGTATCACAACATGTTTTGAGTGAATGTTTTGTGCGAAATAAAGACATTGTAGTCTTGTAGTCAACGTAAGATAGATATAACAAAGCGACTACATAATTAGCGACTCAGTCTACATTTGTGCTAAACAGAAATATGTCTTAAGTTACATAGTCTTATATATCATAATAGCATATCAAAAGTGGCAAACATTGGCACGCGTATAAATTAGCAACTGATTTTGAGCACTATTTAGTACCAGCACTTTAATAAAGCTTGAATTTTCATTGTTTTTCTATTTAATCGATACCTAGTTTGTAATATTCTCATCGTAATTGTTTTATTCGAGTCGATATGTAAAATTATATATAAAACCTTTTTAAACATAAAGCTATACAACAATAAAAATATTTACAATACACCAGCAATACATTGAAGAGTCGAAAATAATATCTTACAGTGAAATATCTACAACGTTCATCAAAGTAAAACATCAATATGTCAGAATTACAAATAGACGCAAATAACGATATGAATGCAATTTATATTCATCGCGATGTATCAAAATAATAAATTGATATCGTCAAATTCAAGAAACAAATGAACGTAGTTTTTAAATACGCAACTACGACAACTCTAGTATTTTGTAGAGATTGGGCTAAAATGTAAAGAAAAATCTAGGATATCCCTTTTTTCTAATACTTTTTGAGGTTACATATCTCACGTGATTCCTGATATTGTCCTATATACAAAAATTCCGTAGGTTTTCACTGGCGAATCATTAGTACAACAAGTTTTGTCATCCTTTAGGTCTGCAGCAGTGGAAATCTATCCACAATTTTTGATCCATCCATCCATAGACAACCCTAGGAAAACATAACCTCAAAAGTATAAACACACTGACCTCTATAAATGGACAGGGTATAAACATGGTTTTTTGTGCCATTATGATTTTGGTCTTCTTGGCGATGAAGGTCTTGGTTGGTTGCGGTGGTGTATATTCGAAATAACAACATAGGTGGTCTATCAATCTACCAAAGGTTGAAACAAAGTAAAAGCTGTCATATCCAATCAAAGACATAGCTATTTATACAGATCAATGTATAAATCTTATTCACGCATTTTTACAATCATTTAGTTGACACATTTAAGTTATATTATCTGTAGAGAGCACGCATCCATAATAAATATACTTAAACGTATTTCAGATTTGGTCCAATATTGTTTATAAATACAGATTTAATAGCATATTATCAAAGCCGTTGACATAGTTTTAAGTAGAAAATAGATAATTTCAAGGCAAATTTTTGTTTAAATACAAGTGGAATGTATAGTAAGGCTTCCTCTTCATAAGTCAGACGAACTACAAAGATGTAAACAAAATACATTCTCTACGATCGAAGATCATTCTAGAACATTTTTACACAATTTTACTAATAAATTAATAATTACTAAGCCATAAATGACATACACTATTTTTTCATTATTTTTCATTTTGATATTTGATTTGCGAATTACTTTTAAACTTTGATTAAAGTACATTTCTGTAATTTAATTTGTCACAGAACACTAAATTGGCGCGAAAATTAAAATTCTTGGATGAAGTGAAGGCAAAAAAAATTTGATCTAGATGTCAATATAGGCTCAAAAGCCTATCTATATCAATGGCATGACAAATAAATAAAAAAAACTATTTTGCCACTAAGAAATGTATCGACGTATTAAGCCCACTTTATTGTATCGTACATAAATAACTACATCTAATCTATTTTAAGTTGATAAGTCACAGAAGTTGTAAATTCATAATTTTTAGGTTAGAAAATAATTTAGTAGTAACAGTCTTATTAAATATAAAATCATGTATTACATAGCAAAATGTACAAAAAAAATTATATACTTTATTAAAGATTATTGTGTACCCCTGTAAAGGTCGTTTGAAAAACAAATATTTTAATAGTTTCTTGTAGATTAGATTTCCCTGAGAATTTTGCATTTCTTTATAAATATTTGTTAGAAAGTCTTGTTTATACAATGCAATAGTAAAAGATTAAGTCTTCGTCTAATATTAACACTTAATCAAGTTCATAAGAAATACGATTACGTATAAATAAAATAACAAATAAATCTACATTTCTTTCACTACAGATAAAAAAAAGCTGCCAGAAATACACAACACTAAATTATAAATGAGAAATTTTTTTTAGCTACATTTTCACAATTCTATGATCTCGTGTGTAAATAATTAGTACCTTGAGATAATTATTAATAAGTTAATGATAATTAGCTACCACATAAACATATAACAAAAATTCGAATTACGTAGCAGTTAGTTTCTTTTATATACAAAATATTCTCTAATTCCATATAAATAAAAATTATTCGTTTTCTATACAAATCTCACTAAATACGATTAGTTCATTTGACAATAAATATACTTAAGTAATCGTAAGATTTATCTGTCGATAGAAATATAAAAAACATTTATTCGATTCACGCTATCTCTGCGTATGGCAACCCTAATTGGATTATGGCATCCATTTATCAATATTGCCCTGTGCAAATTTTTAATTCCTACTGTCGACAATCCAACAGAGATATCGTGGTAAGAATATATTATTTACCACCGTACAATGGATATCAGAATATCCATAAAATGGATATCAGACTAGATTACTGATAGCATATACAGGCAAGGATTACTAAGCACTTTTTTCTACTAAAGAAGAAATCACAGAGGAAGTTTTACCACGATATTACATTAACTATTTTTTTTTAAATAGAATAGTTATTGTGCTACAAATATAGAGCCGTCCTTTTCAACGTTTTTCTAATTCAACCACAGATAAAATATCAAAATACTTAATTCATGGCAACATCGTAGTCTAATTTTAGACGCTTAATTTTATTACAATGATATATGTAAATAGGATTTTACCTACGAGTATTTTTCGACAAATCTATCACTTCAATGTTACACTTCAAAAACAAGATAGACAAGTAGATTATTCTTACCATAAATATAGTATTCCGTTCCATAATGTCAAATGTAAAAAATATAAATAATTAAATCACAGATTCTACGTTTTTTTTTTAAATATAATTTTTTAATCTAAGTGTCCTTTTTACCTGCAACAAGATATACATTCATGTCGTCTTTACCTTTAACGTAGACTCGGCCACGAGGTTCGAAGTCGTACTTGGCAGAGAGAACTGGGATACAAGCTTCGCCGACCTGAATACGTTTGACGACCCCGGTGGAGTCCATTCTCGACGCTATGTTAACTGCATCGCCCCAAATGTCGTAGTAGAGTTTAGTGGTCCCTATGACACCCGCGGTGACATCACCAAAGTTGTACCCGATGCGTAAAATGAAGTCAAACTCGAGTAAATCCTGATTAAAGTTATCGACAACTTTCTGCATTTCAAGAGCAAAGTCCATTAATTGGTACAAATGATCGTAAGTTCCCCGAGACGCGTGTCTCAAGTCGGGATTGAGTCCACTCGCGGCCATGAAAGTGCTACCTATGGTCTTTATCTTCTCAACATGTTGGAACTGCGGCCTCTCTAACAGTTCATCAAAATCAGCTATCAGCTCGTTTAGAACTCTCAAATATTCTTTTCCCTTCAAATAAGATTCGTCGTACATTTCGTTAAAGTTGACTATGCTCGCGAATATAATGCCGACGTCTTTATGATTTTCCGAATACTTCGCGGTGTTCTTTAATTGATCGGCCACGTGGCGCGGTATGATATTATGGAGGAGCCAATCCGCTTGGTTTCTCATGTTCTGTACTTTCTGTTTATCAAGATTTGCCACGACATTACTATAAAAACTCAATCGGTAACTGATTTCAAATTCTCTATTAAGGAACCAAACGAGCATCAACAGTAGAGCGACATCCAGATAAAGTTCTGTCAAATGCATTTTATGTCGCACTCCTTCAAATAATTCAGTACCATTTCTCTCCAACCAATCGTCGTAGCTTCCATTCATCATACTCATAAAAGTTAAGTTACGCGCCACAGCTTGTGGATTTGAGCCGAACTGAAAATCGCCATCTATCAACTGAGTATTAACTTCGCGACAACCCAGCACTGCGAAGAACAGAAACAGGCCTGCGTATAATGTGACCAAAGTGTTCTTAACGAGCCAATTCATTTGAGTAAAGTTACAAAACTCGACTATTCCGATGCATAACAGATAAACGTAAAACGATTGCTCGCCTTTCAGTATAGTCATCGTTGTGTTGATGCACGAAAAGTTAATTAGAACGGCCAACACGGGTAAACTGATAAGTAGACTACCGGACAGATGCCAAGGGAACCAATCCGAGAGCTTTCTGAATATCTTAACAGATCGTCTAATCGTGTTTGTGACTAGAGGTTCATTTTTAGTTTTCCACTTCAAGTAATGTCGGTACACGCAGAGTGATATCGCCAAAGCTTCTATGACAAAGAAAAATATCACCCATCCGTAAGAATGACGCCATTCTGAGTATAATACGAATATTGATATAGTAACTACGACAAAAATGATCGCCGATACTAGTATATCTAACGCCGTATTGAACCTAGACGTAGTTAAAGTAGGAGGGAAATCTTCACTGTCGTCGCTTCTGTGGGCTTTATCACGATAATGTCTCTCCATTTCTGGTGACTTGAAGAACAACGTGAACGTGTTTAGAGGTGGTTGAACGAAGTAGCTGATACCTGATCTGGCGTTGTCTTGGACACATCGTATTAGTTGCAGATCAGATTGCTTGCGTAACTTCTGGAGGGATTGCACTTGTTGTTCGTTGAGAGGAGGCGGTAAGCGAGTTCGGGACGGCACATCATTCAACGAAGACTGACTCGATGTGTAGTAACCGGACACTCTGTGCTGCATTATATCATTCTGCGATGTCGCTAATGCTGTCTGATTCAGTGCGAATATCTGGAAAATAATGCAATAAGTGTAATGTAAAATATACTTCATGTAAAATCAGTTAATTCTTCCGCAGTATTAACGATGTATTAAAACATATTATGAATGCATTGCGACAAACAAATCGCAATTTCTACGAGTGATTAAATCCAAATACAGACCTCTAATGAATTATTACACAATAACTTTATCTATTGTTATCTCTAACGCGATAAAATTAAAATACGTGAGAAGAATAAATAAATTATTATGGGATCCATTTATGTCAAACATAATTACAATTTACAACCTTAATACATTTTACGACGATGTTCATAAATTATTTTAATAAAACAACATCCTGTACATGTTTTCGAAATAAAGGATGATTCATTTTTATGAATAAAAAACACATATTTTTGATAAAGCGCGCCGGATTAATGATCTGCTGAGGGACAAAAAAAATGTGAACGTTTTTACTATGATTTGCTGGAAAATAAATGACTGAGCGACTATACCGTACAATCAATGTTCTGTTGACACGCTATAAAAAGATTGAAATATTCAATTTTATAGATCGTAAACCAGTGTCGTAACTCAAAGTAAATCATTACCTAGTATTCAAAGTAACAATTATACCGACATTTTACCGTCCATTCGCAACTGCTTTGAGTTGCAAAAACGATAATAAGTACAAGTTTTTAATAGCTATTCTAGAATATTTTTTCCAAAATCTTAAATACTTATTCAATGGATGACATAATGAACAAGCAAAAGCATAAACACGTGAGTTTAAGTACTTAATTTCCTTTAAACCTGATAATATGATCATTGAACATATATTGACCATACCTGGTGTTGTATACTGGACCTCCGGCTGGTACTCCTTATACCAGAGTCTTTGCGGCTATTGACAGAGGGGCACAGGCTGACCGAGTCATCTTGTACCCTGGGCGATTGGGACGGCAAGGGCAGGTTCAATCGGCGGTCCTTAGGCCGTATCAACTCACCCTGAGTCGCCAGGGTAGAGCTCCGTGCACGACTTACTGGCGTCTAGAAGATTATTTTTTGTAACATTAAAAGTCGTATCAAATGTTAGTCACTTTACAGTAGTAGATGACATCTTCTTTTGACTAAATTTACTAAAACCCTCGTTATAAAATCGATATATAATTTAATTTCAATGGAAAAGTTTCCAGTAATTGCAATTAAAGGCAGTAAATAAGTCCGTCAGTCAGTTCATAGGTCACATATCGTTGTGACGTAATCGTATTGCAAAATGCACAAGCTTGCACATCACGAGAACACTGGCTCGCTTACACAACGAACTATCAAGTTCAATAAAGTTATATATCAAATATATAATATATAAAATACATACACTACTAAATATATTTTATCTATACCAAGCTTTATTTATAAATATTGCATTGAACAGATTAAGAATTAAAATAATTACCAACTGAATAAAAACTTACGCATATGTTATCTTATAACGATTCGTTAAAATTTCCAACAAAATTCAGAGCAAATCAATCTTAAGGAAACTCCCAAAATTTTATTTAACGGAACAAATTTGGAAACTTCTTACTCAGCTCGAATTTCGTCAATTCTATTTTACGTATTTTGCAAACTTTCGTCACTTTGCAAATGCGCATAGATTGAACGGGAAATACTGAAAGGGTCGTTCAAAATACGTAATCCTTTAAAACTGGGTCACAGACGTAAGCTTTTAATAATATAGTTATATAACTTAAGAACTCCATCGCACTGACACAAAATTAAAACCCAAAGTAATGTCATATTAATACTAGTAGTCACGTGCAGCTCCGTCCATAGCCTACGTATTCTTCCAAATTATGTTCTACATCTATGCCAAATTTCCTCGAGATCCATTGAGCCGTTAGAGATACCGACTGAAAAACACCTATCCATCCGTCACTCATCCATCCATGCATCCAAATATTTTTCCACATTTTTAATAATAGTACAATTAGTAACAAGTGAGATAGTAAGATTATTTAAAATGTTAGCTGCCAGAATGATTTTTCGAAAAACGAAAAATAGTAATACCTTATTTACATTGCTCATATAATTATTATTTACATATGAATGGAAGTATGGCTTGTCGGACATATAGTCCGACATGGCAGCTAACTTGTTAAGGAATATGTCTTCCACTATACTTCCGAAATAAAACAAATCAAGACAGTGTATGTTGGCAGCTAAGTGCACCGCATCTCAACTACGAACACTTCAAAATATGATGAATTAACAAAACACATTAAAGTGACACATCAATTATACGCCGATGTATGAACTTTGGTGGACTGTTTCTCATCATGTCATAATTCTAATGGAAACATATCGAGGAAGCAAATTTATTATATTTAGTGTATTAAAGTAGATAATCGAGTTTGTATATAGTGTGTAAAAGTACATAACCATGAAAATAGGTATAAAAATTTTATGCACCAATCAAATCTATTTCCAAGTTCTATTTGAACAAAAAAAAAATATAAAACATTTTCTATTCATATGTACTCGTTTACCAACTCTACGTTCACAATAACGTATTTTTAGACGTATTCTATTGATATTTCCCGTACAGGGGCTATGTGTGTAACCCACATACGTAGTAATGCCACGCCATTCTGCCGGGTGCACTAGGCCACCCTAATGAACTAGGCCACGATGCCAGCAGTTCGTAATTTAATACAACCTATATTCCTTTATACAATGCTATTTTCAATATTAATATACCTTAATCAAGATACTATTGTTTTTACTAGCTTTTACAGTGGATTCGACAGCCGTAACACAAGCGATTGCCCGCAACATTGTCAGCGCAGAATTAAATAAAATTGTGCACTTTATTACAGCATTTTATTATCATACTAATACTATCTTTGTTCGAATGTATCTCCAGAACGGCTGAACAAATCTCGATGAAATTTATGTTCATATAGAACACAGTCTGGAAGAACACATAGGCTACAAATATTACGGCGCGGACGGAGACGCGAGCGGCAGCTAGTTCATAATATAGAGGAATTTTAAGCAACCTGTATAGTAATTAATCTTTTAATCGCTGACTGAACGCATTTGGTACACATATTGATCCTCGAATTATGCTCGTGCCAAGACTAAATGGATTTATGTAAATATTGATTTATTTATAGCATTGCAATTTTGTTGTATATTCAATGCAGATAGAGATAATAATCTCATCATTTTATGGTTAATAAACATGAGCCTTACTGTGCGAGAAAGTCTAGATTTACTTCATACAAAGTAAATTTGCGGAATTCTTCGCACGTGTAATTAATATATGAAACGAACTGCACACTTTTTGTTTTACTAGCAAAAATTTTGTAAATAATAATATTTACCTCTAAATTCGGCCTCCCATAGTGCGATCTGTAGCTACTACTTCTAGCAAATGGCGACATATTGCTTCTCGATTGACTCAAATATGATCGTATGTCGATAATCTCTCTCTCAAAGGAGGCTATGTCTTGTCCCTGCGGCACGTGAATCTTGCTGCTGCTTTGCGCAGGCCTCTGTTTACTGTCCTGAGATTCTATTACTATAGGGACTTGGTGGTAACCATTGTTCGATTGGATATTCTCATCTCCCCTTTCCAGGTAATGTATCGTTTTGTCGCTAAAGTTTTGCTTCTTTATCTCATGGAGTGGTGTGTCCGAATGTTTCCTTAGAAACCTGGGCACCTTCCAATTTTTCAGTTTATTCGTATACTTGCCGTAACTGCCTGAAATAAAACGCGTAAAACGCTAACGTGATTTCGTTTATGGCTAATAATATCGGAGCATCCGGAATTATCAAAGGCCGATGCTTGTAAATTCTTATAAATGTTATATGGCCAAGAATAACAAACTAGCGAGCGTTGTGTGATTATTTGTTTTGCGAATCATCACGAAAGTAAATAAGACACGTAACGAGAGCACATAATGTGTATTCAGTTGTCGTTTAGCACGTCGGTGTCGGCGCTAACTATTCGATCGACGTTATCTATATACGTATGAAATTTTTTCGGTGAAATATTAAAAAAAAAAAGAAAATTATAATATAACATTTTTTTTAATGGAATTACACCACTAAAATAAAAAAATATATATCGTTGGATCTCTGGGATTGTCTAGGTAAAGGGTGGCAATGATTTTTAAAAGATGTTATGTTTGTCTATATAAATTGCAGTGTTAAGTAATAAAGGTGTTGGATTTCAAATCAAGTTAGAAAGATATTGTCTTACATAATTTTGCTACATAATTTACGTACCAAAAAAATCATGATATTAATGATTAAAGATAATTCTAAACTATTTTAAAGAATTCTTTGAAGAATTTATTTATATTTTGCTTAGGGAAAAGTGATGGGAAAAATATATCAAAGTGCGAAATGTTTACATTATTCTGTTTGATATTTAAAATTAACACAAGTAATAAAAATACGCATTCCACGCACATTATATAAAATTTCCGTAAGTTATAAAAGATAGTGCTCCATGAGGAACATCGCTCGATCGATGGACATAGTAAACAACGTTACAATCAAGTCACGTAGAAATTGGAAAAAATATACGTCGAACATGAAAGATTAATAACTTTTACGTGCGACGATGAAATAAATAATATCTCATACGAGGGATTATTTTCTCTTGGACTATCGAGTTTTTGAAATATTTTTAATAAGAATCATTTGATTTAATACAGAACCATTATACAAACTGTATATTTATTATATGTAAAATTATACCTAATGCTTTTACAAAATAGCAAAAATGCGTGAATGATTGCAAAAAAAATTAACAAGACAATTATAGAATGGATGAGCAAGATATCGTTGTAGCATAGCTGATTACAATGAGAGGCGTCGTCACCTTCGAGTAATTAAGTGTCACGCTGTTATCTGTGACTTGTGCCTCATGCCATTGATAACTAAGACTTTTAATAAATAACACCACTGCTTCTCATCACGCTATGTACACAATTAGAGCGTGAACATTAAAATATACGAAACACAAACATAATATAAAAAGTAATTAAAACAAAAATATTTAACGATGTAATAATTTATTAGAGACGATATCTTATTAACTTTGCTTGGTTTTTTAGACTAAAGAGTAGCACTAACATAACGCGATTTAATCATTCAAAATTACTAACATATTATTTGAATTGCTAACACAAATAGAAAGACGTTTAAGCTAAAGGATACAGTTTTAAACGACTTACCAACAGACGTCGGACTTTTGGATGAAGTATCGTTACTTTCGACGAAGTCCTTCTCCCTCTTCTCGTCCAACTCAGCATCAGAGTCAAGTATACTCGGCAGCGAACTGGCCTTCGTGCGAAAGTTGAATGGATTGGGGGACAGGAAATTGGAGTTATCGGTATCAGTATTACAGGAACCCTTCTTGTCGTCTAATGCGTGCGTTTTGGCGGTGATCGGGAGAGGCGAATGGTTTAAATTGAAATTGGACTGCGGGGAAACTGCGGGAGATATGATGAGGCGAGGATTAATAGGATTCGAAGGTGTGATACACTGATCGTGGTCGTAAGGAGAATTAAGCTGACGTCCCTCAATGAAGTAGGTTTTATGACCTGGACACATTTAATTCATTTAAAACACACAACTAAGGGTCCCATGCTTTTATCACTAAAAATCTACTTACCAAATACCTCTTCGCCTTCTTCTAAAACGTAGGAACCTCCCAAAAATTTGCTTGTTTCTTCTGATATATGGACGCGGCCCGGTTTACCAGTTGATTCCATTTTATTTGCAAAAGACACATCATTGCTCCATACATCGAATTTAAACCTTCGTGTGCCAACAATTCCACATAAAACCGTTCCAGTATGAACTCCTACCCTCATATTGATACCCTCGCCGCGCTCTCTGTCAAACTCTTGAATTGCTTCTATCATGCCTAAAATATCGGTAACTTTATTGTCCACACTGTTCTAAATGAATAAATCCGAGAAACCTTCATTTTTTATATACCTACCAAGGCCCATTTCAACACAACATGTTGCATGATCCAGCCTGGGCTCAGGACATCCAGAGACACAGTAGTAACAATCTCCCAAAGTGGAAATCTTCTCACATCCATGTATATGACAGAGCTCATCAAATTTCTCAAATAAATCATTCAATATGTTCACTAATTCTTCAGCACCTTTATTACTGGACATCCTTGTAAAGCCCACAATATCAGCAAACAATATGCTAACATTATCCATGCAGCTCATGTTGAATGGTCTGAATAATGACTTGATATCACCAGCTCCAGGATTTGATGTTCTTTGATTAAGTGGATGTTGAGCTTTAAAGTTAGTTTCACCTTCTAAAACTTGCTCTTCCATTAACCAACTGGCCAGCTTCGGTGGCATAACTGAATGAATCATTTTTTCCTTTAATTGTTTTTCCATCTCCAACTGTCGTCTTACTAATAAACTTTGCCCTACTTTCATAAATGTGCCGCGCATTCTTACAAAAGTCATCAAATAAATATGAACCCCAATTATGTGCACACAAAGTTGGAGCAAAACTCTCACAAACATTCCGGGATATTGCCATTCTTGTTCAGATAAATGCAGGAGAATATTAAGGATTTCGAAAACAACGGAGTATAATATCCCTATAATAACACACACAAACAATGGCAGAGGTGTCAATGTGTATATAATTAATAATATTTCAATACAAATAGTAAAATGACCAGATTGGCTTATATCTGCCACTTGAGGAAATGATGTTTCCAATTGTGTTGTCAAAGTTACAAGAGACAAACTGAGGACGCAAAGAGCCAATGCCATTATCAGGGAGATTCGAAATGTAAAAATCTTATAAATATCAGTAAATGTGATAAATAGCATAACACAGGTTATCAAGACAACTGCAGCAAATATTGAACACAGAAATGGCCACTTGACTGTTATGCCATGTAGGCCAAGAACTACAAAGTAGACAAACCATGATATAGAAAATATTAAAATGTATAAAAGTGCAAATCTGAAAGAGAAAAAAATTACATAACTTTAACATAATAAAAAGATTAAAAAATTCAACAATCTACAACACATAAGTTAAATAAAAATTAAATAAAATAGTTAACATACCTGAATCTTAACCTAATTTGCCTAAAGGAACTACTTCTGTATTGGCCTTCAAGTATTTCTGAGTCAAATCTAGGGTTCCACCAGGTTCCTGGAGCTGCTCTTTCAAATGCAATGGGTATAGCAAAGCCACAGCAGTTGGTGGTGGAGTTGTTGTGTGCCAGATATGCCTGGACATGCGGAGCTAGCCTGATCTGGGCATCCTCACCCTCAGAGCAGTCCGCTTCATGCTTATTGTCATACAACTCTGAACCTCCATTGCAACTGACACACCCACTTTGAGCACTCATTGTTTCCTTGCTATGTTAATTCCATTTTACTGTATTTAATTTTAGATGTTTCCTTTCAATCTGTTCACAAAATATAAAAAATTTCACTTATACTTATATTTTCTTATGGTTCTCATAATTAAGAAACTACTTATAATTTAACTTTACTGTAAAATTTATATTGCCCTTGATACTTCCTCACGATCAATTATGTATTGTAAATTTAACTGTAGCCTTTTAATTAAAACTGATATCGACTGGACATAAAGGTGACACTTTAAAGTAATTACCACTAGTTAGATAACAAACAGCACAAAATTATTAAAATGAAATTTTTATTAAAAGCAATAAATAACATTACTTAAAAATATTTCTTCAATTGACTGAACAGCTGATACTAAAATGCGATATGGAAATAAATATACGGCATAACCGAATTTAAAGTCGTTTTTAATTTAAAAAGAATTTGAGTAAGATTCGACATAACTATTATTTCAAAACATTTAATTAATTATTGACGCCTGATAACACAGTTAAATATATAATAGATCATATTCTCTCTTACTTTTCGTCCCAAGGTTACACAAGTTCATAAGTCACAACTGTATCCAAGCTAATCTTTAATTTTAGTTCACATAAATCGTTTACTTTTGTCACAAATAAATGAAACAGTTTTTCTTTGGCATTTCCTTGAAATGAAAAATATTTAGCAACATCCACCAGCACACAAAACTCTGTTCACTATTTTTGACAATTGCTTTAGTGTGACCAGATTTAAATTAAAGTTACTACGAAATGCGTACTCGTATAAATTCTACTAAAGTTTACACTACTTTTTTTATGTTTTTCAGAAAAATAGTTAAAAAGCTTTAAGTACCAATCTCATTGTCACAAAAACATGTTTTTTAGAGCGTATGAAAGTTACTGCCTTCCTCAAAAGGTGAGTACTTTTGTTCTGCTTTACGGTGAATTTCCATTCCCTAATTATCTGTTACAGTGATGGGAATTCACGGTTATCATGTCCAACAGAATCTTAATTTCTTAATTAACGTTAGTCGAAGATGGGGGGGGGGTGATTACGTGGTTTTAAATTATAGAGGATTTAACTTAAAAACCTTATGATAATGGTGTAAAATTGGAAGAAAAACTTTTACACAAGTTGATATGTAATTTTTTATACTATAGGGTAATAAACAAACAAACCGCCAGCTTGATTTGCCAGAACAGCGAAGCGCCCGCAGTCCATAGACATTTGCATTTGTAATTGCATTTCTCTCTTTAATAGACAAAGAAGGGGATGCACTGAAAGGATGTTGTCGCTGCCTATGCATCCCATTCTCCGACGAATTGTCATCCTCTTTTCATAATTATCTTTTAAGAAATGGGTGGAAAGAAGAAGAGCACTAAAATTAGGCCTTCAACTCAAATCAGAAGAAACATGGAATGTCTTCACACCTGTCTTCTGTGGCGTTTTGGCATTTCACCAAATGCATCGATGTTCTTGTGGACTCTACCACTATTAAATAATAATATTAGCATAAATTAAAATGAAACACTATCAAATAATATTGTATATAATTATAATAATTAGTAACATATTAAAATCTGAGTATATCACAACATCATTATATATCTTAGTTTACAGGAAGACATTTTAAGTAATAATGTTTATCAAAAATATATCATATCATTTCAAAATAAGGCACCTTATTGGCTCCTATGCATGTTACATCTGTATGTCCTATGATTAGCAAAAACTTATGTCATCACAATGATTAGCCACCCTTGTCAATAATTATTGCTCCATATACATACAATTAATTCATACTTTATAAATTTATCCCTTAATATATAACATTAAATCACAATTAATACTGAACTATTTCCTGAAATTTGAATTTAACATGCCAAACTAGAGACTATAAATTGAAGAAATTACTGTATATTATAAATTTCATTACCTACCCATTTAAATTATTTGGTTTTTTAAAATGGAAATATTGGTACTCAATTTGCACACAATATTTGAAAACGGAAAAATTTACATTGAAATCATATAATGTAGGATTTCAATTCATTATAGAAAGAAAACTAGTCATTATACATTCCATCAAGTAGGAAATCCATTCTCTTGTAATGTCTGTTCTTCCAAGCTTCCTGACCTCTCTTTATTGCAAGATACCCAACAACAGCAAACATTGGTACTACTAATATTGTAATAACAATTGGCATGATCATGCCGGGATGGCTGTTAGGATTCCTTGGGACTTTAACTTTATGGCCATCTTTAGGATAAGATGTTTCAAAATCTGTTAAAGTTATTTGATCCAATGCTTCATTAGATAATACCAGTGGTTTTTTAGGAGTTTCAGTCTTATTTTTATCATTAGAGTCATCTTTGGGAACAATGTTGTTTATAGTTTTTTGACTCGTCACTGGTGGTGCATTGATTTTATTAGGTTTAATAATATCTTTTGAAATATCCAGCTCTTTATGACCCGTGGCATTATTTTTTTCTATTTTCGTATGATTTGCAGGAACTTGAGTATCTTCTATAGAACTGTAAACTACTCCCTTTCGTGCTACTACAGATTTTTCTTTATTTTTACCTATTTCATTATCTAAACTCAAAAGAATGTTGTGCTTATCTTTCGGCAAATGTATAATATCAACAACTGCATTAGGTAATAAAGATCCACCTTCACTTACTAAATTTAAATTTGTTTTGTTGTAATCTTCGTAATGAGATTCTTGCAAGACACTTTTACTTGATTTGTCTCTAGGGGTCTCCGAAGTTATGCTATTTCCGAATATATACGGAATCCACAAAATATTACACAAAAGAAACGATATTAACATATTGTAAAAGAAATGTAAAATATATTCTAAAATAAAAATGAAATTATAAAAAAGAAATAATAACAAAACATCGAACTTTTATGATTTTGTTCATTGACATTTGTAAATGACATATAAACATCATGTCATTTGTCAATCAAATTGACGTTGGCCGTTCACTGAATTTCGTCTCGAAAAATGTAAATATCTTTTAACTATTCCCATTTCTATTTAGTTTAACTTGATGTGTCAATTGCTGTAGTGATTTAATACCCCTTTAACCCTTCAGCACTTATTCTTAACAAAAGGGGCTCATTTTCTGAAAGAAGGCTTAAAAATTAAAATCTTTTTTCTCTGTAACGACTATTGACAAGTGACAGTTGATTGACATTGACAATGACAAAAAATGACAATCTCGACTTTCTACGACTTTCAAATGACATATTCTATAAAATAGATTTGTTTGGCCAGAATTCACTGTTTTGCAAAAATGTGTTTGCTGTTTAAATAGTTCAATAGCTATTGAAGAACTGCGCATATAAATAAAAAACGATGAGAACCCGCAGCAATTCAGGTGTCCGTTTGGATTACTATCAAAGACTTGTGCACAAGTTAATTTTAGATCATCAGCAGCCAGTAACAGGATTATTTCCTGCAAGTCCTCACAATGATCATGCGTGGATTAGGGACAACCTTTATTGTATATTAGCGGTTTGGGGGTTATCGATGGCCTTCAAGAAAATTGCCGATCAAGATGAAGATCGTGCAAAAACATATGAATTGGAACAAAGTTGTGTAAAACTAATGAGAGGTAAGATAAACAAGATTTGTTATTAACTTTATGAATAAATTCCATTCTTTCATCCAAGCATTCTTTTTATAACTTCTTATTTTATGTATTCATGTCATTAGGTCTGCTGATGGCAATGATGCAACAAAAAGATAAAGTTGAAAAATTTAAAAGTACTCAACATCCAATGGATTCACTGCATGCCAAGTATTCATCAATAACTGGCCGTATAGTGGTCAAAGACAATGAGTGGGGACACTTGCAAATTGATGCAATTTCATTATACCTTCTCATTCTGGCTCAGATGACTGCATCTGGGTTACAGATTGTTTTCTCTCTTGATGAAGTTGCCTTTATTCAAAATTTAGTTTTTTACATTGAGTCAGCATACTGTACACCAGATTATGGTATTTGGGAGCGAGGTGATAAAACTAATCATGGCTTACCTGAATTGAATGCCAGTTCTATTGGTATGGCAAAAGCAGCTCTCGAAGCTATGAATGAACTTGATCTGTTTGGTGCCCGGGGTGGTCCCTCAAGTGTTATACATGTTCTGGCTGATGAAGCACAGAAATGTCAAGCTGTATTACAATCTATGCTGCCGAGAGAGTCAAATAGTAAAGAATTAGATTCAGGGCTTCTGTCCATTATAAGCTATCCAGCATTTGCAGTAGATGATCCCCAACTAATAGCTAAAACAAGAGATACTATTGTAACAAAACTCCAAGGGAAATATGGATGTAAAAGATTTTTAAGAGATGGTCACAAAACACCAAGAGAAGATCCAAATAGGCTTTACTATGAGCCATGGGAGTTAAGAATGTTTGAGAACATAGAATGCGAATGGCCGCTATTCTTTTGTTACCTTATACTTGATTACTGTTTTCAAGGAGATAAAAATAATGTTGTAGAATATATGCAAAAGTTGGAAAAGATAATGATAAGGAAAGACGATGGAATGAAACTTGTTCCGGAACTTTATTCTGTGCCCGTAGACAAGGCAGATGCTGAGCAGTGTGATCCTGGAAGTCAGGAAAGAATACCTCTTGGTAGATGTCCATTTATATGGGCACAGTCACTGTATATTCTCGGAAAATTATTGCAAGAGGTGAGTATGTTAAATACTCTGTGAAAATGAGTTGTTAGTTTTCTTTAACACAATTGAGTCAACTCAATAACAATGAAGATTTTCCAATTAAATGTTATGTCCTTTACCATAATTAAAACAAAATGATTAAGGAAATGTTGACATAATTATAAATTGTAGCTAAAACATAGATGCTAAATGGTAAGCCATAAAATATTGTTATGTATTATATGTTTTTTAGGGTTTTCTAGCTGTTGGTGAACTGGATCCATTGAACAGAAGATTATGTTCAGAAAAGAAGCCAGATGTGGTTGTTCAAATTGTTATTTTAGCAGAAGACAATGAGATTAGAGACAAATTGTTAGAATATGACTTACATGTTCAGACTATAAATGAAGTGGCACCAATTGAAGTTCAACCCGCTAGAGTTTTGAGTCACCTGTACACATACTTGGGTTTGTATGCACTTTGAAATATTTGCACAACTTTAAATCGCAATATTAAACTAAAAAAAAAAACATTTTTTTCTTGTTTAAAGCAAAACAAAACTGAATCTAGCTTTATAAGTTTATAGTCATTATCATAAATTTCAGGGCGTAACAAAAAGTTGGGCTTGTCGGGACGAAAGTCACGTGATGTTGGCATACTCAGTACTAGCAAGTTGTACTCTTTGAATGATCGTATCTTTGCATTTACTCCTCAGGTATGTTAGTTTTTTCATTTAAAATACGAACTAAAATTGTATTGAGACGAAAGATATCTAATTCGCCTAACTATTATTATTAAAGTTTATATTATTAAAGTTTTTTTTTTTCTTAAATGAATATTTATTCTAGCACTATTTATACTTTTGAAATGTTTTTGTGCATGTATTTTGCTATGAAATAGCTCGTATCTTGTAAGCACTTAATTATTTTATTTTATTTGCTAGTATTCTGATATGAAGCGTTTCTACATTGCTTCTGACTATGAGCTGATGGTCGATACTCTCAAAGCGGAAATTAATTTCTTGAAGTCTTCTTGGCAAAACCTTCTCGGGCGACCGCTTGTTGTCTTGACTTTGAATCAAATGCACTTAGGTACTATTTTATTATGTATATATGGCATATTTTAATAGCTTGCTGTTTTATCCCATCCAATTTAATGTGTAGATATAAAAATAATACATAGCATGTTTTTTTGGAATGTATAAGCAGTACTAAAAGCCTGGAAAATAAACAATATTAATAGTAGTCGTAGTAATGTATGTATCGTAAATTGTAACGTATATAGTAAATAACCCAGTTTGTTATTCAGTTGCGAACTAATCTGTCAGAAGGGCTACAGATAAAAAATATTACTGTCTATGTTTTGTGTGTTGTGTTACGTCATAAAATGGCGGGATGTCGCATGTGTAGAACTTCGACTACGAGGAGTACTACATGTCGCGCGACCCGGCGCTACTCGCCAGCACGTTCACAGCCAACGTCGCCTTTCTCGGCATGAGCTGGAAGCAAATGCTCGGCCGGCCGACCATCACCTTGCTGGCCACACAGTATTTGTTAGGTAAATGTGTAGACAAAAAAAAATAACCATCAACTATTATTATCTATACTTTGCTATACTAATAACATCTCTTCAAACGGTGGTCAAATGCAATTACTTATAACATTAATTTCTAATTAGTTGCTTTTAAAATATTTTATTCTATAATTTTTGGCCTTTAAATATTCCGGAAAACGTGCCAAATAAAATATAAATATCTTTTTTTTTTAATTAAAAATTATTAAAAAAATAATCTACTAAACTTATGTTACTAAAAATTGTAGATGCGCATTATTTAGATTGAAATGCTATTCATTACGTATTTTAGATTGTCAAACATAAATATTGTATGAAAAATAGTGTAAATAAATAATAAATAAAAAAAACCCCTTATGCTTTGCAATTTATAAAACTAGGATACATAATAATTATAATTTTTAATTTTTTGTTAAGTCAATAACTTTTAACACAAAATAGAATTTTGTACTAACCATTAGTTTCCTGCTTTTAATGCTTTTAAATTATTATTTTAAAAAAAAGCAGATTAAAACAGTCAAAAAATTTTCAGATCAAGGCAAAATACCGATGGCAATGATCACAACTATGAAAAAATTGAAATCAGGCTACATTAATGGCACTAGAGTAACATTGGGTAATCTTGGTGAATTCTTGAGCACATCGGCTATAACTAATCTGAGCTTCTTGGGCAGTCAAGAGGATGGATATCCTGATAGTAAGTTTTAAACATTCATATGTACTATGTATAAATATATTACAATTTTAAACCTATAGACAAAGTCAAAATCTTTATTTAAATGTTCAAATGTTATCAAAATAATAAACATATAAAATACCGAAAGTTACAGTCAATTCCATACATATTTGACTTTCTAAAAAATAAGCAGGGGCTGGTATTCTGCTGAGGGTTACGTTGCGATCTTTGGAGATCCCAAATTTATCTTATATTGCACACGAGGTTCACCACAGTTTTTAGTGCGTCAAACCCCACATAGCCCTGTCATCCACCTAGAAGGCTAAGTATCTTACGAAAATCCCCCCCCCCCCTTTCCCGATAGCAAAAAAAGGGGGGCTGGTATTCTAGCACCCTAAATTTACAATAAATTATAGGAAACTAAGTTGTATCGTATACAAAAGTAGGTAGACAATGTAATAATTTTTCAGAACTAAATCCTCAAGTGCAAAGTTACCTAGAGGAACACTTGCTGAAGTCGTTCAGTAACAAGATCAGCTTCCTGTCGCGTCCTGTCGGCGCGCGCAACACGAAGGCCCTGCGCCGGCGCATGTCCGTCAGGGGCGCGATCAAGAAGACACGCTCTATTAATGTCGACTGTAAGTACTAACTGAACTATGCATTTAAATATATAGGTTAACTAATAATAATAAAAAAAAAAAAACAAAAATGATGCTTACCTCACTCTGTGATAGCAATAGATTTTTTGTAATTAGTTAAGTAGTTTTTTAGTTTACTTGTTACACATCTTTATAAAATTCTCGTGTCACAATTTTCGTTCTCATACTCCTCGGAAACGGCTTGACCGATTCTCATGAAATTTTGTAAGCATATTGAGTAGGTATGAGAATCGGCCAACATCTATTTTTCATCCCCCTAAATGTTAAGGGTAGTCCACCCCAAAAATTTTATTTTTTATACAAACTAGCGGACGGAGTCGCGGGCGACAGCTAGTAAACATATAAATCTTTCCTCTTTATAATATTAGTATAGATACGTAATATTTCAACACTGTGCGTATTATATATATAAAGATACTAAACGATTAGAGCTAATGTGAAGTGACTGCAGATTGTAAGCAGCAAAAATTATAAATGTATGTAAATAAAGTTTACAAAGCAAAAAAGGTCTCTGACCCAGAGTCAGAGGAAAGAAAGAAGGTGGATAGTAAGTATCCACCAAGAAACAAAAAAAAACGTGAAGTGACTACGGCTGCTTAAAAGTTTCAATCTAAAGCCACATATTTTTTTTGACAGTTACTTTTTCATACTTATCTTTTATTTTTTCAGCGGAAACCTTAGGCATGGAAGGGGAATATGTGGGCCCTCACCTGGAAAGGAAACCGTCTTGGCTGGAAGTCGACCCGATATTGGGCCGCAGTCCTTCGCCCGAGGACGCTAAAAGGCGAGCTATTACTAAGTAAGTTCTATTATACATAATCTTCTAGATGCAGTATCCAAAAATTGGTATATAGTCATCATAAGTATATAACGAAAACATAATTTTTACCTTTAGAAATGATCACATATTCCTCTTTTCTACAGGTACACGTGTAAAAAAACATGTTATAATGTTAACAACATGCTAATTTTAGACATTATTAATTAGAATCTTTTGGCGCGAATGGCGCGCATTCGTTACCAAGTCAACTGTCAGATTGATTAGTGAGGGGATATAAACGTTGATAGTTTAGTAAGGCTATGTTGCGCCAGTACACCGGCACAGTGTCGGATTTTTTTCCTGACACTACTATAAAGATGAAAGATTTGTGTGTATGTTTGGATTGAATAGCCTGGGAAACTATTTAACCGATTTGAAAAATTCAACTGCTATTTCATATAATCTTGACTAAAATCTTTCAGAGGAACATCGACTACTAGTTTGGGTGTAGTGCCTCCAACTATCGAAGTGACCAAAGAACAAACTCCTTCGCCACCCAAGGATGAAGGTAAATTTAATATTTTATTTTTTACTAATATTATAAATGCGATGTTTTGATGGATGGATGTTTAAAGGTATCTCCAGAACGGGTGAACGGATGTCGATGAAATTTGGCATACATATAGAACATATTCTGGAAGAACACATAAGCAATTAATTATGTTTTTATTTTATTCCACGCGGACGGAGTCGCGGGCTAAACCTAGTTTTGATTATAAAAAAATAAAAACCATTGTTTTTCAGGTGCATTAAATAAAAATATATGTTCAGTAGTTCGTAACAGAACAATATCTGAGTCTCAAAACGTTGTGTACGCGGAGCAGGAGACTGACGAGTTGATCGCCATGCTGAGGGAGACTGAGAGCTTGGATGAACAAGGAGATATCCTGCAGTATCTCGTTGATTCACAGGGCCTCGACTTTAACACAGGTAATCAAAAAATTCTAACAAAAAATTCGTAAAATAGGCTAATTTCAAGTTTAATTTTTTTAAAACAAATGTCTACTTTTGGGTCGAGTCGCTAGTGCATTTATATTTACTGTATAAGCGGCAGCCTACAACTTCTTCGACGCAGAATTAAAAATGTAGCCTTTAATGTTTCCTGTGTACAGGCTATCTTCCTGCTCTCTATCAGACCGTCAAAATCGGCCCAAACATTTCGAAGATTGTCCGGAACAAAGACCGCCTTGCGGACAGACAGACAGAAATTTACATAGAGTTAGTCAAAATGTATTAATACGCAAATAGGTGAAAAAAAAAAATCCCTTTCCAGGTATGCTAGAAAACGGTAAGCCTGTAACAGTGAAGGAACTTCTGAAGGCTCTGTACGAGAAGGCGTGCACGCAGAAGCTGTGGGGGCTGGTGCGGCACACCGCGGGAATGCTCGGCAAGCGCGTCGAGGACCTCGCCAAGGCCGTCACAGACCTGCTGGTGCGACAGAAGCAGATCACTGTCGGCATGCCGCCCAACAACGAGCATACCATCACCGCGCCCTTGCCGGAGAATGAATTACGTCAGCTTATACATTTGGTAAGAAATTTTATACTAGCTGTCGTTCCATGTCTTCTTCCAGACCGTGTTGTACATCTATGCCAAATTTCAGCGACATCCATGCAGACGTTCCGAAGATACCTTTTTAACAAACATCCATCCATTCATACATCCAAATGTGCGCATTTTTAATATTTATATTTCTAGTATTAGTAAGATAAGTACCCAGTCAGAGTGGAATCGAAGAAATAATTAAAAATGCAAACAAAAACTGTAAGTTTCATTTTCGTAACAACAGATGGCACTATTTTTTACTAATCACAAATAGATGGCGCTGTCGGCGTATTACATTTACACAATCAATTTCACTATACATATGAGTTCACTTCATTCATCATTATATTTGTTTCATGCAGTCATTTCGAAGAGAAAAACATGACAGTGAAAATAAAAAGGTAATATTATATGTAGTTTTTCAATTTATAAATTATAATTCAAAATATTATTACATTATTGCACTAAAATTCAATCCTTTAGGTATTTTCTATGACATATTCCTTGGTACGTAAACCACATCACTATAACTAAATATAATATTTTCAAACCTTTACTTTGTCTAATATAAGTTAATTTATTTGAAATCAACTTTTATTAGCAAAGGTTAACTTCACAATCATATTTATATTCATTTGATAATCGACCTTATGTGGTTGTGATAGGGCTTATTTTTAGTTATAAAATATAAACGTAATATAGGCGTACGGAGACGACGAGAGCACGGCCATGTTGACTCAGGAGTTGTTGGTGTACCTCGCGATGTTCATACGTACAGAACCACAACTCTTCCTCGAGATGCTGCGACTGCGTGTCGGACTTATCATACAGGTAATGTCTCATCTAGAGTTTCCACTGACTAAACAACAACAAAAAATATAACATCTCTTTTTTTATAGAGAACTAGTTATCGCTGACTACTCCGTCCGTGCAAACATAATTAGTAGGCCATGTATTCCTTCAAAGTATGTTATATGTCTAGGCCAAATTTCAACGAGATTCATGCAGCCGTTCTGGAGATGCCTTCTATTAAACATCCAGCCATCCAGCTCGCATATATAATAGTAAAAACGTGAAGTGGTTTATCTACTTTTGTACATTATTTTGTTATTCAGAAAAAAGGTAACACACAATCACATAAGATGTCACATAATCTCGGTAATTTAATTTTTTTCTTACAACAGAAATTAAATAAATTCCATAAACCTAAAAATATTTTTCATTTATCATTTCGGACAAAATCCCACGTAATGTTAGAATAAAAACAGATCCTAAGACTATGGTAGGGAAATAAAATAAACAGTAAACCTAACCTAACCTAAGTCTGACGTAGACGAGTCGTAGATCATGTTACGAGGTTAGTTATTTTGTAGGTAATGGCGACGGAGTTGTCGCGAACGTTGTCGTGTGACGGCGAGGAAGCTTCCGAGCATTTGCTCAACTTATCTCCTTTCGAAATGAAGAATCTATTGTACCACATCCTCAGTGGAAAGGAGTTTGCTATTAACAGTGGTAAGTAGTTATCGAGAAAGTTTCCATTTCAAAAAATATGCATAAGTTTATATAACTACTAGCTGTCGCCCGCGACTCCGTCCGCGCGGGATTACAAATAGATGTCGGCCGATTCTCAGACCTACTCAATATGCTCACAAAATTTCATGAGAATCGGTCAAGCCGTTTCACAGGAGTATGGGAACGAAAATTGTGACACGAGAATTTTTTATATAAAATGTTTATTGTTACAAGTTATACGAACTCCATTGATACTTGAAAAAACTGTCGGATTATGTCAGATATTATGTAAAAATCTTATAGGAATATTATGTTGATTGGTTCTTCATGCTAAGAAGTGATATTTTATTTGCAGCAAACTCCCTCTTTGTTATAAAAGAGAAAATCAATAAGGATAAAGGCGAGTTACAATCCCACGTGTTTGTCTTTCGCTTATGTTTGTGTCAAGCGCCATTTGTCGATAGAAGTTGATTTACAATTCATCATCCCTTCGCATGTCCCTTTTTATTTGCAGCATTTCTTCCTCTAAGCATGCGAATTGAGATCGCATATTTCTTTCCCATGTAGTTTTTAAACATATTCACATATTATAAAAAAATATTGTAAAGTAAAAGATTCATTAAGAACTACACTATATAATACTAGCTGTCGCCCGCGACTCCTTCCGCGCGGAATTAAAAAGAAACTTAATAAGTAGCCTATGGATTTTTCCAGACTATTTTCTATATGCATACCAAATTTCGTCATGATTCGTTGAGCCGTTCTAGAGATATCCATTCATCTAATCATTCGCATTTATAATATTAGTAAGATGTATATTATAATATAAATCATAAGACAGATTGTAAATAACATAATGTATAACTATATATACTATATAAGTAAATATTTCATATGTGTAATGCGTATATTTAAGTCCAAATCATGTCTCCTACTAATTTACAATACACTTGAATGACATCCCTGTAGCTTTTCAACGAGATAAAACTGCTAATAATATATTTATTTCAGTAGGACGCGGAAACTTCTCTATTGTAAGTAACAAATCGAATCGATACGGAAAGAAGTCACAAATAGTATTGGAAGGACAGTCCTTACAAGGCGGAATTGATGACGGTAAGTTTTAAAACAATATCTTTGTTTACATCAAAATATATTTGATAGATGCCACTAGGTATCTCTTCTAGGAACAGGTTTTGCATATGACGTTGGAATTTCTTACAATTCACGATTCAAATTAAGAAAAATTTCAATTTTCCCTTTTATAATTGAATTGCTGTCGCCCGCGACTCCGTCCGCTCGGAATTGAAAAAAAGTTAATAGTCTATGTGTTCTTCCAGACTATTCTCCATCCATCCATCTAAACATTAGTATTTATAATATTAGTAAGATATATCTGAATCATTGTTGAGTCAGTTTGTTTGCTGCAATGAATGGTGTGCCAATAGTATTTATTTCTGTAGCGCCCATGGTGGAGCAGGATCGTCAAGGTCAGTGGTTGCGTCGACGACGTCTCGACGGTGCACTGAACCGCGTGCCTAGGAACTTCTACCCCCGCGTTTGGGGGGTTTTAGAAAGGGTAAACCAAGAGCTTTTTTTTTAATAACACTGACTAATTCTTAAACTTTATAATAAAAGTGAGCGTAATTATATCTAACTCTATAAATATCGAAATTCTTTTCATTGCAGTGCCAAGGGCTGGTCATCCAGGGTAGAGTGCTGCAACCCAATTTGACACAAGAGATGACGTCAGGAGAGTTGAAATTCGCTCTCGCTGTGGAAACCGTCCTGAACTCTATCCCACAGCCGGAGTATCGGCAGCTGGTGGTGGAGGCTCTGATGGTGTTGACATTGGTGGTCGAGTACAAAGCAGTCAGCCACTTGGGTGGGATGATCACTGTCGAACATTTGGTGCACAAGGCCAATCAGATATTCTTGGAGGATCAGGTATATTGACTAGTGAAGTCAAAAAAATAATTATGAAAATCAGATTAAAAAAATACCAATTAAAAAAATATACAGACGAATTGAGAACCTCCTCCTTTTTGAAGTCGGTTAAAAATCAAATTTTGCATTTTTTCTTACTACTCGAAATGTGACAAAATTTAAGACTAGTAAATTGTTTACCTTATCTCACAATTACTGTTCTACTATATCAAGTATATCATTAACAACTCGGACTCATTTAATGGTCCTCCTTAGTATAGATTTAGTATTAGTAATAACCGACCGAGAATGTATCAGTCGGGGTGGTTTATAGTAATGAAGCACAGCTAGAGTTGTGTGTGAACAGATGCGATGCAACGGAGACGCGACTCTGTGTTGCGCGAAGGCGGGAGGTGTGGGAGGTGCGGGGGGTGCGGTGGTGTGCGGCGGCGCGGCGGGTGTCTGCCAGCACCTGTACGACAGCGCGCCCAGCGGCAGCTACGGCACCATGACCTACCTCGCGCGCGCAGTCGCCGCCCTGCTCGCAGACACCATGCCGCACGACTCACCCATAGAGTGCACCATCACATGAACACTGACAATTACACCGATTCAATACCAAAAAAAACATGACTTAAAAAAATTAAAAAAAATTGTTCACGGTGGCTGAACAGGTAAAGTACCTTTGCCTTATTCTTAAAACAAGATGGCGGCCGACAATCCTGTAGTTTGGTTGGTTTCTGACAAAAGATAAAGATCGATAGCTATCTCGGATGCATCACCTCATGTGGAGCTCATATATCTCACTCTCATGCAGAATATTTTATTAACAATTTAGGGTTTTTAATAAGTAGAAAATGACATTTGAACTAACATGATATGTTTATTATTATACTAATGTTGAACTTAATTAAGTAATATAGTAAAAACAGTTATTTTCTATAATAATAAAGAAAATTATTAAACACTTGAGCTATATATATTTTTTTTTTGATAAATACGAAAAAGGTGGGAAGCCAACAAAAGTATTAAACGCTTGAGTATTATTTCTAAAATTGTCATATTACTTGTATGAGCTAGGTCATGTTAACCTTTTTCTTCGGAAAGATAAGACCAGTTTTATGCCAAAATATCAAGTATTATGATTATGCATATTTATTTAACACCTTTGGTTGTTTTTTCTGAAAAAAAAATGTAACTGTATATTTTAAAACTATTATTTCCTAGCAATAGTATAAAAAGATTGTGTATTTAAGACAAGTTTATTTGAAATGTTTCCAATCATTATATTTTTTTCTATTATGCAATATATTTTTATTAAATGGTCTGTTTGTTTTATTTCAAGCTAAGTTTTTTTTTCTAAAGTAAAAAATGTATTTTTAAAATAAGTATTTTTTAATATTACTAAATTCCTTATTAGCAAAACAAATTACATCCTTACACTTTTATTCTGGTGGTTACGCTAAAAAAATAAAAATAAAATACATCTGGTCTTTCTATTTGCCTTTATTGACAGAATCACTAAATGTCAATAAAAATAAATACACCATTGAACTCGGCTATCTAGATTTTTATTACATTTTTCTATAACACAATATTATTTGAAACATCTAACAACACAAATAGCTACGAATAATTCTAAGCTTCATCTTTTTTACCAAATGGATTCATTTTTGACAGCCATGATGTAGTTGTCCTGAAAATAAAAAAAATATTTGATTTAAGTATTGTAGAGAATGCATCTCATTTAAATATTAAATTACTAATGATTAGAAAATGGTGATGAATTACTACATGATTCATTTAATAGTAATTTGTACATTCTAGACAAATATAAATGTGTTAAGGGATGTCCATTATTCATGTGATTACTTTCAACTTTTTGACACTGTAGCATTGGCTCGTTCGCGTACCGACAGGTCTTGCCGGCTCAAAGATCTGACATCGACTGACGTCCCCTCTCTCCGGCATGTACTTATGGCGTGTACGCTCGAGACAAACAACACTATGTTTATGCATACACTACAGACGCCACTTCCCCTCTGGTGATATGGAGTGAGGTTTAAGACTATGACTGATCAAACTTAAAAACACTTATAATTTTTTTATGCAAAATAGTATTAAAATTTTTGACAATATTACTAATTTGCTTATTAAACTTATGGCATAAGTTAGAATTCAAAAACATATGATGCATTATTTTAGTCTTTCTCTTCTTTATTTTGGAAGTCCTCCTTACTTTCGGGCCTATGTGATTAATGGACGAACCCTTATCCTTTCAAAGTAAATGATCTAATTGCGATGGTAAAACCTGCCACATGGAGGTGCAAGAGTTGAAATGTAACAAAAACACTATAATAAACAATTTTATCAGACATACATGTTTTAGACCCAACATTTAGATTTTGCATGGTTTTACCACCCAAAAACTTCATATCATGGAAACCTCTTTGCTGGCATACCTAGAATAAAACAAATTAAAATGGTATATAATATTTAAGATCAATATAACTTACGAAATTTCTTCAGTGGCATCATTTTTATCTTCACTTTCTGCCTCTTTTAATTTCTCAACTAACTTCTTTCGATATATATTTTTTAAAGGAACAGGTTTGTTTTGGGCTTCTTTTTGCTTTGCTACTTTAGATAGTGCCTCATACCAGGTCAATCCATACCACTCTATCTCTTCAGGTGTATACTGCAAATATAAAGTAAAATATGCTATGTAAATACAAAATTATTAATGATCAAGTTCAATTTATTGATTCTTTGAATTTATTTAGTAAAAATCACAAACAAATTTAAATGCTGGATGTCAATATATAATATTTCTTACCGAAGACAAGTAGGTCTTATATTCATTATATATTTCCTTTTGTTTCTGTGGGTTATTGGCATATCTTGGGCATCCATTCATTAACTCTATTAGAATTTGCTTCTTAAGTTTCAATGCAAGCATTGACACAAGATCGCAGGCTGGAGTCTTGAGCAAATAATGATCAAATCCATAATGGTCATTAATTAAATTAATAGTTCTGTCAGTTACAGTAACAGAAAGATGAGTGTTCAATACTTCAGAGCGGACTACAGTTCTCTTCAGCACTGGCACCCAATAGTGGGGCACTCTACGTCTTTGATCACTGCGCTTTTGAAAACCTAAAAGTATTTAAAATGGTATTTAATATCTCCGAAAACATCAAAACTTTAGGATATGAATAACATATGTTAATCTAAAGATTTCCTATATGTGTCTATACTATATCCATCAAAATCAAATTGTTATTGGTTAAGTTTCAAAATTTGTTAACAGTAAAAATAATACATACAAGAAAAATACTACATGTAAAATTATTTATGTGAACAGTACATATCAAAAATCAGAATTGGTTGCTAAGCTATTATTTTGTCTCTCTTAACAGTAGCTAACATAACCTTAAATCTGAAACAATCACTAGCCTTTAATGACAGCTTCTCCTCCCCAAATGCCCTCGTGAATCTCAGCGGGATGTTTCAGGGGTATAGGCACATTTTGCACAGGCAGAGTTTCACCAGTCAATTCATCACGTTTCCATTTACTCTCTTGAGGGATGAAGTGCACTGCTGCAGGCTTTAGAACTTTCCATTCACGCCAAAACTTTTTATATGCTGGTGGTAATTCCGATGCTATGCCAATGTCAAATCTACTTTTCTTCTTAAATGTATTGGATAGCTGACGCACAGTTGCCTTAAAAATAAATCAACAAGATAAGGTCGTAACAACAAGAATCAACATTATGATGATGTAATTTTTCTTCATACGGTTATTCCTATATGACTTTTACCTGGATACGAGATGATGCCATTTAACTATTTAATAGTAAACAACATAGAATTCCAAATTTTACGATTTGTGGAATAAATCTAAATAAATCTGATTGCAGTTCATGCCAATTCTGTCTGTCAAAACTCAAAATCTGTCAACGCATACTTAATTTTTTAAAGTTATAGTTTATCTGTATTTCAATGTTAAGAATATTTCATTATTGTTCAAAACGTACAAAAACCGTATTTTTTGTGTAAATTTCTAGTGATTGTTACAATTAATCAAACATTATTATAAAAAATCTATTCTACATTATTACATTTTTTTTATTTTTTTTTTTGGAAAGTCACCAAATTGATTTATTCTGTGTTACATGTTATTAATCTGTGATGACGTTGACGTGGATAAAAAAAATGGCAATGGCAAGTAAAAAGTGAATCCCGTGGTGGCAAAATATTTTGTTTACGATTTAAGACCTCTTGATTTTTTAACTTAGTGTATTGTGTATTCGAATTCCTATAAATTATAATAATCAGTGAATAAAATAAGCAACGTTTTAATGTGCGCAACCAATCAAAAAACATGTCTGATAATAAAAACGTCGATAATCGTCCTGAAAAGGATCAAGTGGAATCCTTTGATACCAATTTAGCAGTAACAAGTGATGTGTCCAGTGTTGTGAGCAGCGTTAGAAATGTTAAGGTAAATAAGGGCTTTTGTATACTTTAACATTATATTTGCTGGATAAAAGACGCTTGACAAACGTCTTAAGCATTTCGTCACGTTAGTAATGATGACTATGTAAACGCATATTGTTAACATTAATTGGTGCCAGTGTGCCATGATAATCCATGTCAGACCACCGTCTTACTGTACTGGTATAATTTATACCAGGCAATATGTATAATAATATTTTTTCCTTGTAGCATTCAACATCATCTGAACGACAGAATAAAGTGGAGAGAGCACAGAAGTGTTTAGAGAATGCCGCACTTGTATCCAAGCGCATTAAAGAACAGAGAAAAGCCACAGCAGAACTATTAGGAAGGCCATTTGGTAATTTCTATTTTTTTTTAAACTATAATGTGCTTATTCTATGCCAACTAAAATAAGAATAATTTCAAAAAAGGATTACCGATTTTATATAAACTCCTGGGCTTAATATCAATTCATCTTACTTTTTGTCCAAGAGCAGATCACTGATTATTGTTTATTTCCAGAGGATGATGTTACAGACACTGCGTCAGAAATGGCATCCACCATGAGTGAAAGGACTGGTTATTCTGTTGCTACAGATACTTCAACTACTTTATCTGTACAGGATGCCTTGAATAGTGAGTTGATTTAAAAAATATATATATATATATATATATATATATGTTCTTACATTTATTATTGATGCAATAAGTTACTTTATTTGAAATGCCGTGAACCTTTCCAATTAAAAGAGTTACATCTTATTTGAGATAAAAGATGTAACTCTTTGTTGGAGGGCTCAGTAGTAAGAAAGATTTTACCTTTAGCACAATGACAATGTTGCAGTTCCTGGTATAAGTGAAAGTTTAGCAAACACTTTGAAGCAAAAGGAGCTATTAATGGAAAGGATAAAGCAATATAAAGAAATTAGTAAAAGACCTATGAGGAAATCTATGTCAGTGAAAAGAGATTCATCAGATACTACAGTTGTGCAAGAAGTGAAGAAGGTAAATGTTTGATACCACCATGGTATTAGTTTAATTTTTTTTTATTATAGAAATACATTGTACAATGTTAACACATTGACGGACAGTAGGAACAAGCGAAGTTCGAAAATTGACACTATATGTTTTTGTGATTTTTAGAATGTTAGAAGTATAGTTTTACTCTTTCTGCTTAAATAAACTTAATTTTGATTAATTTAGTACCTTTAATTAGGTTGCGGCTATAACCGTCATGGCGCCAGCGGACTCTATACACTAAGTGATAGGACAATATATAACAGGTGAAATTTGAACTTCAACCTAAAAAGATGTTTTCAAAACACGACACTATGCTTCTACGTATACGCCAGTAAGTGCACATTTGTGCTGCTATAGCCGTAGTGTCTAAAAACGACCGTTTCGTTTTGGACGGCTATAGCAGTCATGCCACATTGTGAATTTCGCTTTGATGGCTATAGCCGCAATTGTCCGTCAACATGTTAATTTATTTTAAGGTTTTAATGTGAGATGGTTTATTATGCTATGTTAAAAAAATATGATGCTTTTATATTTAAATTTAATTCTATATGCTTGTGTGATCGGACTATAATTAATAATATATAGAACTATAAATAATAATAATGTTCAATAAATATATCTTAAATTTCAGAGTGCTGATAACTCTGATGTTTCAAAATTAATGAACACTATTAAAGAAAAAGAAAATGCTTTAAGTGTTATGCAAGTCAAAATTAAAGCCCTTGAGACTACAATTTTAGATTTACAAGAAAAAATAAATGAAAAGGACCAAATAATTGAAGCTAAAAATAAAGCAACCACTTTGATATCTGACAGTTTAAGTAAAAAAGGTAAGGTGTCGTATATTTTCTTTTGTTTCTTATTAACAATTTTATTACTTATCTATGTTATCTTTTATAAATTTTTTTCTTTATTATTTTAGAAAAAGATACTCTAGATTTACTAGAAGATACTCGGCAACAGATGACAAAAATGCAATCAAATTTCATAGCAATGGAAACTGAATGGAAAGACGAAAAGCAAAGATTACTTGACCAAATTGGTGAAAAAGAAGAAAAGATAAAAAGTCTAGAGGAGGCCAACTCAATATTAGAAAATTCACGGTTTGAGATCAGTATTGCTCATTCAAAATTAGCTGAAGAATTAGAATTAAAGAAACAAGAAATACTTAAATTACAAGAGCAAATTGAAACTATTACTCAAAAAAGTGTTGAATCATCTTCTGGGGCATTGCAGAGTGAAGACAAAGAGTTTACTGAAGAAAAAGGTACTCTGGAAATATCTAATATGGAAGAGTTGACGAAAAAACTTGAATTATTAGAACAGATAAATTGCCAAATGAGGCAGACCAATAAAGATTTAGAAAATCAACTTACGTCTTTGAATGTAGATCAAAAAGCAACGTCAACTGCTCAGGGAAAAAGAACTCCCACTAGTCCTCATCCTAGCAGAAAAGGAAGAAGTGCTGCTTCCAAAAGTAAATCTCCCTGGCGAGGTTTATCAACTGACCGTTCACAAGAGACAGAAAAATCAAAAACCAAAAGTGATATAGCTAAACAAGACATAGTGCAATCTCTGAATAAAGATATTTTGGAAAAAGAATATTTATTGACACAAAAAGATGATATCATATCTAAGTTAAAGTTGGAAAATAGTGAAAAAGAAAATATTATCAACAACTTACAGACACAAATTGAAATATCTAAATGTGATACTAATAAAGTTGACATTGCTGTTTGTACCGATCCAATAGAATCCATAGTTACTTCTCAAACCCAAGAAACGCAACAAGCAGAAGTTATTGAAAATATACCTGAAGATATACAATCTTTAAACGAAAAGTTGGAAACAGCACAGCATCAAATTGATCAACTCAATGAAGAGATAGATGTGGCAAATAAAAATATGATAAAAGTCAAATCAAGCTATAAAATAAAGTTGAAACAATTACAAAAAACTATTGATAGCTTTAGTAAAGTGTCAGATGCGAATGCTGAAATTGTAAAACTCAATGAAGAATTGCATCAATTATCACAAAAGGTAGCAGAGTTGGAAGAAGAAAAAGGAAATCTGCAGCTTCATCTCGTTGACTATGATAGTGGTAGATGTAAGTACTCTTTCAGCCAATTTACTTTATAATGTAATCATTTACATCTTTTACTGTACAAAAACTGTTTTTATTTAAGAATTTTCTTAAGAACATTGAGATGGTCTTTTTAATATCAATCTTATATTTCAGTGACTGATTCAGACATTTACAAGAAATTGGTAGAAATGGAAACTTTGGCGGAATCAAGGCTTAAATCCATTACTTTATTGGAAACACAAAAATTCGAACTAGTTCAAGGTACAGTTGCTACTATGAATTTATAGTTTTTAAGTAATTCGGTCCTTCTTAAAATTTGCTAATTTATCAAATAACTTTGATGTGTTTCAGAACTACATGTATTGCAACAAAAGAACGATGAAATGGAAGATAAAGTAGCAGATATGGCTCAACTGCAAAATGATCATGTTTGTTCCGAAATAAAGTCAGTACAAATGGAAGAACAAATTGATGAATTGATAGCATCTAAAAAGGAATTAGACCTGGTAATAGAAAATCTAAAATTAGATAAAGAACAATCAACAAAAACAATCAAAGCGTTAGAAGAAGAAAAGGAAAATTTAATTCAAAAATTAGAAACCTATATGCAAGAAAATATGGAATTAACGGATAAATTTGAAAAATTGAGCGCTGAAAAAGTTAGTTCTGCGGAGTCCATTGAAATGGTAGAATCATTAACGACGCAAGAGAAATTAGAACTTGAGGAATATAACAGAACAATGGCAGCTAAACAAGACGATACTAACTCAGAATTTAAAATGAATGAGCCAGGAGAAGGCGATGAAAATATTACGGAGCTAATAAAACAAAGTGCAGAATTAAGAGATAAAGTTGAATTATTTACTCAGGAAAAACACGAAGTGATGGAGAAAATGAACAAAGTGTATACTGAAAACGAAGACTTGCAAGAAAGAATTAAAGAACTAAAAACACAGAGTGAAAATTTGACTCAGAATATTGATGTTTTAAGTGAAGAAAAAAATACTCTTCAACTTTTAAATGAAGAATTAAATAATCAAATCGAAGTGCTTAAACGCGAAAGAATTGAAATTATGAAGGAGAGCGTAGAAATTGTAAAACCAGCAATCATGGAAGAATCAACAGAAGGAGTAAGCGCGGAAGCATCACATGATGACAAATCGGTCGGTGACAAAAGTAATAATAGATCAAAATCTGTTAAGCAGTTAACAAAAGATATTCTTAAACTGAAGGGAACTATCAAAGAGCGGGAAGCTGAAATTGCTGATTGTCAAATGAAAATATTATCACTAGAAGAACAACAAGATAAACAAAAAGAACTAATGCAAAATATTACAGCACTCGACAGCAAAGTAAAACATTTGACAGAGGAGAATTCTCAGTTGAAACGAGAAATAGAAACGGCACAGAAGGATGTCGAATCTGAGCAACAATATAAGCAAGCGCATGATGTATTACAGCAAGAAATACAGAAGATCCACCAAGAATATTCTATGGCCATCAATGCACGTGACACCAGAATAAATGAATTGGAGAATCTGTTAGTGGAATATGAGAAGCAAATGTTTAATTATGGAAACTCTTTACAGCAAAAGGATAAAGAAATTGCAGAATATATTAACCAAATTACAAAATTAAATGATGTATCACAAAAATTGAAATCTACTGTTGATTTACTCGAAGAGGAGAAGGCTAAAGATCAAAACGCAGAATTAGTTAAATCGCTGAACAAAGATATAATGATTTATCAGAAGAAACTCGCAGAATGTGAAGAAAAACTGAGAGTTTTAGAAGACGAAAAAGTGCAGTTGTTGTCTGTTAAAAGTGGACTAGAGGTGAAGGCTAACGATTTGGAGTTAGAATTAAAGAATCTGCAAGAGGCTTTAACGGAAAAACAAGCAGCTATTAAAGATTTGCAAACGCAACAACAGAAACACGATGGAGAGCTATCGTCTATTATGTTGCAAGCAAAGGAACGCGACGAGGAAATACATGAAATAAAACTGCAACTTAGGAAAGAATCTATAGAAAATGAAAAACTAAGAAATGAAGTGTCTCAAAAAGTCAATGAAACTGAAGAATTGAAAAAACAATGCAATGAATTAAAGCAAAAAATAAACGTGGTTTCCCATGACAAAGAAAATTACAATGAGCGCCAGACAATTTTAGAAAACAAGAACAAAGAATTGTTGGATAAACTTAAGAAATTAGCTATTACTCTAAAAAGAAAAACATCGTCGTATAATGACTTAGAACTCGATTACAACGATAAGCGAAAACAACTGGAAGATAAAAATTTACAAGTACAAGAATTGCTTTCAAAAGTTGAAATTATACGACAGTTACAAGATAAAATAAGGGACATGGAAAAAGAGTACGATAATCTACAAAATGAAAAATTATTGCTTGAACAAAAATCCAGGAATGTTGACCAAATACAAATAGAAAATGAAACATTACATAAAAATCATGTAAATGCAATTGAAGAAATATCAAAATTACATACATCATTAGACGCATTAAATAAAGAATTGATGTGTGCACGAGATGACAACGACAACCTAAAAAGTCAAATTTCAGCTTTAAATAATAAATTAGTTGAATATGAAATTGAACTGAAAAATAGCAGTAATCTTAGTACAAAAATAACATCTCTAGAAACAGATCTAATCCAGAAACAGACTCTTATAAACGAACTATCTATCCAAGTAGAATCACAAAAAGAACACATTACCCAAATTCAATTTGGTCATGATGCTAAAGTTCAAGAGTGCAATTTGTACATAGAAAGTTTGCAAACAGAAATTGAGAAATATAAAAATCGTATTTACCGCTTAGAAGAAAGCATATCTACTATGGAAAGCAGAAGACATTCTTTAGAACGGAAAGCCGACCAATTGGATAACCAATTACAAGAAAAACAAAAGGCTTATACCGATTATACACACCAGGAGGACGAATTAGTTAACCGATTGGCGGTTCTCATCGACCATGATAGAGTCGTTGAAAAGCAGCTTCATGTGATAGAAAATGAAAACAGAGAATTGCAGCATAAAGTACAACATCTAAATGAAGAAGTGTTGCGTCTCAAGAATGCCTATTTAGATTTGCAAAATAACTATACATTAATGCAAACTAAAGCCGCAAATGCGGAAGCAGCAGAGTCTGAACTTGTGGTTTATCAAAGTAAAGTTTACGAACTTGAAGCTAATCTTAAACATATAACAAATGAATACCAAACAATATTAGCGCAAAAGAAAGTGGATATTGAAGAATTAGAATCAGAGTTCAATACACAAATCGAAAACGCTATTAAAGAAAAGAAAGTATTGAGTGAAAATCATGAAAGGCTTAGTGAGCATGTTACTCAATTAGAAAGAAAATTACAAGAATACAAAGACACTAATGTTAATCTGAACCTTAATTTACAAGAAATTTCGGCCGTAAATCAAAACTTGCTAGAAAAAAGCAACGAAAAGAAATCCTCTGCAGTTGACTATACAGAGCAGTACATTAGCGAAATAAATAAATTAAATGCTGTTGTTAATAATAAAAACCAACAAATTGTAGATCTCGAAAATAATATTAAGACATTGCAAGCAAACAAGGTGGCAAAAGATAATGAATTAGAAGGTAGAATAGCAGAATTATCATCAAATTTAGCCAGATCAGAAAAGGAAATAGAATTAATGTCTACAGAGCTTAAGTCGATTAAAGAAAATAATGAACAATTGCAAATGTTGTTGCTACAAAAAGATGATCAAATAAAACAATTAACGGACAAAAGTAAAGTCGTTTTTGAAATGACTATACCAAAAACAGAAGGCATGACTATCTCCTCGACATTTGAACAGTTAAATGATCAACGTGGTGTTGATTTAACAGCACTCGAGTCGCAAATTGTACCTGAGTCCTTTGTTGCTGAAGTAGGGCCGCCCAAAAAAGTAACTGAAAGTACTTTGGTGCAATCTTCACATTCAGGTGGCGCAGGGTCTCATAAAGAGGTGGAAGAGCCAGTTATAGTAGCTAAAAAATCTTATGATTGTTATAAAAAAGATTCTGATATGATTTCGGAAGATCCGTTCTGTTCTCAAGAAGGTTGGGGATTTGAAGGTGATGAGACAGAAGATGTTTCAGCAGGGTACACTTACTTAAATGAACAAATCGAGAAACTCAGAAAAGAAAATGAAAGATTGAAAGGTGAATTAGATAACACTAATGTTAAGTTATCAAAAGTTCTTAAAATCTCAAAAGAACTAAAAGCTAAAAGTGAATTATTGTCAAACGAACTTAAAATATCGAAACAGCTGTCAGATAAATCTATTCTTGATACTGCAATCGAAAGTGAACTGTCGAGTAACATAGAAGTTTTGGAAAAACAGTTACAAGATCTGAATACGGAATTGGAAAGAGAAAAACGCGAAAAAGAAGCGTTGAGGAAGCAAAATGAGATATTCAAAGATGCTAATGATCGTTTGACGGAAATGAAAGAAAAATTAGATACAGAAATTGAACTGTGGAAATTCAAATGCAATCAAGCAAATGATAAAATATCGTCACTGCAATGGACTACAGAGTCACAGGAATCACCTGCACCAGAAATTCCTACTTCGCGGAAAAGTAAACCTATTAGCGAAGAAATAATGAAACTTGAACAAGAAAATGAGGAACTGCAATCACTTATTGACGAACTTAATGATGTTAATAAGAAGTTAACAGATCAACGTGATGAATTTTCGAATGAATTAAAACGATTACAAGAGAAAATCCAAGCACACAGTGTATGTGAAAATTGTGATAGTCTTCAAAGACAAATATTAAGCGACGATGATTGCATCACGGCTCTAAGAAGTGATATCACTAATCTTGATAGCAAAGTAAAAGAATATGAAGAATCTTACAACAGCATCTTAACTAAATATGAAGAATTATCTAAACTAAATGAAGAAAATCAAAATCAGTACGAAATAAAAACGCATGAATTTATTACTAAAATATCTACTTTGGATGAAGAACTTTCTGCAATCACTAAATTAAAGACAGAAGCTGACGAAACAATAAATTCCTTGAAATCTGAAATTGAAAGTTTAAAATATGAGTTGTTGTTAAAAACAGAAGAAACATCGAACATTAAAAATGCATCAGAAGCTTTTGCAATGTCTGAAAAAATGAGTTTTATGGAAGTAAAATGTAATGAAATGAGCAATAATTTAGAACACGCCAAAGAAAAATTAGCACATCTAGAAAATGAAAATTTGGAATTAAAGCAAAGCATACAAGATTATGAAAAACAAATTGAGGAGTTAAATTCAAAAATAAAACATCTTAATACCGAAAATGATCAATTGCTATCGACGGTTGCTGAGCTACGGTCATCTGTATCCAGTGCCGTTGATCAACGTGGATACGAAATAGCAGAGTTATGGAAGCAACACCTGGCACAAAGAGAAAACGAATTCCAAAGAATCGAACACGAGCTTCGAAGTGAACTTAGTGCAGCCGAAACAAAATATGAGCAATTACTCGATAACGTCCAATCGTCTACTCAAGATGAAACTAATAATCTTATTGCCATGGAACAACTCAACTCGTTACAAAGCAAGCTACAAGAGAAAAGTGAACACTTGACTAGTTTACAAAATAAATACGCAGACGTAATTCATCAATTGGATATGCTGCGGTCAGAAACCGAAGACGAAAAATTGATTCTCGAAAACAAGATGCTCCTTCAACAAGAGGAATATGAAAAAACTATCAAAGAACTAACGCAAGTTAACGACGCCAAATCGATAGAATTTGAAAGTGCAATCAAAAATCTAGAGGCAGAAATATCTGCCATGAAAAGTACTAATGATAATTTAAATCAACAATTACTTGAGCTACGATCGACATATGAATTAAAAATCCAAGAGTTGGGAAGACAATTACAAATTAAAGAAACTGAAATTCATCAAAAATCCCACGACTATACTATTGCGCTATCACAGCGCAACGAAGAGTTTGAGAATGTTAGAAAGCATCTGATTGAATATGAAAAGAAAATAGAAGATTTGTCTTACGAAAAAGAAGCAGAATTGGCCGTTATAAGATTAAAAATGCACGAAAATAAAGAACAACATGAAGATATTCAAAAGCAGTTAGAGGACGAGAAAAATAGTCTGTCAGAAGCTTTAAATACAAAGATAATAGAATGTACTAACTTAAATAAACAGGTACATGATTTGAATCTACTTTTACAAGAACATGCGACGAAATCCGCAGAGATGCAAGAGGCGTTGGAAAATCAGGAGCTAGAAATAGTATCACTGAAAGATGAAATATCTAACATGCAGGATATAATGCGATCGTCGAGTAGCAAAATTGAAAAACACGTATCATTCGCTTCTGACACAAAACAAACCGAAGAGAGTGATAAAATAGCTAGACCGTATAACAAAGATTTATTGGACGCCGTTCCCAGAGCAGAATTGGATATAGCATTGTATATGTTGCATCAAAGAGACGTCCGTTGCGAGGAATTGACAATGGAGCTGACTCAATTGCTGGAGGAGAGAGATACGCTACAGTTGCGATTGTCCGATAGCTTGCGAGCATTGGAGGACTTGAAGTCAAAGTCTAAGGCGACGGAAGGCGTATCTCTGAGCCCCGGCCAAGACTCCATTACAGAGTTACCTACTTTAACTATTGAGAAGGAGCAACGGATCGTTGAAACACATCGAGCCCATACTTCGCGAAGTAGTAGCATAAGTGACTACGATGGAGAGAAACCAAAACTGCAAGCGAAGTGAGTTAATTATGTCTAATCAAATTATACAATTCATGCAATATGTCCATGTAATATAAAAATATTTCGTACCCATGATGAAGTAGAGTGCCATAAAACAAAAAAAATATGTTTGACTCTTCGCAAGTTCGTTTTTTTTTCGGTCTAGACCGACTTGGCTATTTTTTATTCCATTGATAAAGTCGCGATGAATAGCTAGTGAATGGTGTATTCAAAGAGTGATGTTTGTCTTCAGGTTGTCGGAGCTGCGCAGCGTGAAGCACAGCCGTGACGTGACGCTGCGACAGGACAGCGAGCAACGACAGCTCGGGATGCGGCTGCTGCGCCGTGACGTCGCCAACCTGCCGCCTGAAGCACTCGAAGAGCTAACACAGGCGCATCACACTCTATGTAAACTACTTACTTACCTTATGTCAGACAAATTTACTTAATTTACTACTAGAATTTTAATAATATTTGTTTTGTTTCCAGCTCGGGACTCTCAGAGCACATCGACGGTGCTTTTGAATTGGTTACGAGGGAAGAGCACGCCCAAAGTAGTGCATATGTGAGCCACTCAACCCCCCGTCTTACAATATGTAGATTGTGTATATTTGTTAAACATATTTTATCACCACATCACTTTACGGTTGGACTAATGTTTGGCAAACATTTGTCACCAATCGCACTTCACTTGCCATTCATAGTGCACCGAAAACGAATTTATTTTACTATATTTTTTATTGTATTTATTATTTATTCATGTTTTTATTTATTTCATTATTGTGCACTTATTACGAAGATAAAATAATGTTTTTAAATTGTCGATAATTTTCAAAAGGAAGTCAATCAAGAACCATATTTAGGATGAGTTTTGTTGCATTTAATTGTTTTTACAATTCCTTTAAAAATATTCATTTTAGTGCCAATAATGTTAAAAGTTAGCAATAGGTTTAGCTATCTTTTAGAATTCGTGTTTGCCATTTTTTTATTAATTCGGTGCACACGAACGAACGATAAATACGATATCATTCCTATGTTTTCAAAAAATTTAAAATTCCTTTATTAAAACGTGCCTAAAACAATAGTTGAACCGATAAAATTCAAATAATGCACTAGCGGTTGGTTTCTGAGACAAAAATATCTGCATGAAACATATCATCCTTGTCATTATTTTTGACAAACTGATAAGGTTTTAAACTCAGATTTTAGTCTCAGGAACCCACGGTAAGTAGATTACATTATCTCTATCAGGGATGACTGTATACTTTTATGTGTTTCTGCAGTGGAAACTCGGTAACGTAAACAACAAATTATATTCTGATGATATTTCCAAATAACTTGGCTGATCTTGAGTTTTACAGTTCCCTTCCCCATCCTTTTACTCCCCGCTATATCTAACATTATGTTCTGCACAGCGAATTGTATGATGTTCAGAGCAAACAAGATATTTGAATAATACTGTAACAAGACTTATTGTGAGTTTCTGATACCAATCCTCGATTCAAAAAAATTATCTCTATTTTTTTCAAAGATACGGTGACGATGGTCTCAGAAGAACGGTTAAAGAACTAAAAATATATTTATGTGCAACCGAGAAATACAAATTTCGATACACTTTTATTACAAAGAAAACCCAAAATAACAATACCATTATTCAGTATTACTTTTTCCACACATCTCACATACTGAGTTCTCTAGTTCTCGTTATATTTCAATATCTTCTATACTTTTTTTTTTTAATTTTATAGTCGTATTCATAATGAATTTCCATACACTTGTTATGAACTTCCTCAATCATATATGTGTTGTTAAATAACATGTATTTATCAGAGTAACTTTGTTCTGCAAATAATTTTGACGCACAACAAGGTCACTACAATAACCAGATTAAGCCGCTTCTTATAAACAAAAATGGCTTCCATTTGATATGAGAAATACTAAATAATCCATATTATTCCAAAGCATATAATTATAAGTATATATGTTAAAATTAAAATGATTTTAAATTGTGCCTTTTTGCTGTTTAATGTATATTAATTTTTGTAATAAATGCAATGTAATAAATGTATATAAAATTGACACACAAATGTGGGTCGGATGTTCCAAAATTGTAAATTTTGTTTTTTTCCCAATAAACGTTAATCAATTAGATGTTTTGATATTTATTACTAAGTTTATCCTACAGAGGTAAGGCAACTGCATAGATTTGCTCTGTCTTCTTCTTCAAAATCGCAGACTTCTTGACAAAAATGTTAAGAGTTTGGCGATTACAGAAAACTCGACGACGACAATCAATCATGCTAAGGGCCTTTGTGATTTATCCCTAGAACTGGAAAGGTTCTTTTCAAAGGAAAATTCTTAGGTTCCCGTTGATTTCCACTGTCCACAAGTAGAAGAAACTTATAGTTAGCATTAGATTCGATTCAAATCTTTTAAATTGTCTATACGTGATTGATTTGATTTTGTGTTCTGATATCGAGGTTTGGATATATAAGTTAAAAACAAATAATAATTTTTGAGATTTTTATTATTTTTTTAAATATCTACATCTCGTAACGATAATACAATACAAAGAGCAACTTAAACGTAATAATCACATATAAAATCAAAGTAACGCAATTCCGCGCTTTGTTTCTTTAGAATTTAGCTTCTTACATAACAGAGGGCGTCCGCGTCCCAAAAGAAAAAGATCACTTCTTTGCAGAAAACTCCGCCAACTATTTATATATACATTGAAACAAAATCAAGATTTCTTTCTGTCTCATACGTTAAACTTTTAATCTATACCATAACAATAATATCTTATATCCTATACTATATCAAAAAGCCAGTCCAAAAGCCTAATAAGCAATAACATAGTAACTATTATTTCGTAATGCGTATATTTTCCCACATAGTTTTTATTAAAAGAAATATTTATTTAGTGTCTATTTATTAATTATGACAATTTTGAATTTCCTAACAATAGGTACAACCACAACCGAATTTCTTATAAATTATATATTTAGATCAAACGATCTAACATTTGCTGTATGTAGGTACTTGAGATATGGTTCGTTTAACATATTTTCTATATCATCTCTTTAAAAGTTTACAGAATACTTTTATTATATAATAACTTATGGCACCGAATGCTTAGAGCATACATCTTTATATTTACATTTATTCTATTTATATATTTACATAAACCATTTTATGCATTTGGAATAAAGTTCGACAATCTTATATCGTGTCGACTTCCCAATTTATATCTCAATGGAAGACATTTGACATAATTCTTAATTAACAATACCACAATTTATTACAAACGGATATAAAGATCTTACTAATAATAAATTTATTATAACTATTTTATATCTAAAGTAAATCAGCGATATATGTTTAATATAAACCAAGAGATATCACATAGCATATGAAACAGTATTGATTTTGTAGAATTCTTAAGTACAACACAGTTTAACTCCGGCAAATATCTTGGAGAACAGTCAAATGTAGGTAGACAACAAGGAATACCCCGTTAAATCAGTCAGTTATTTTAATATCATCGTTATTTGTCAACAAGTTATTTGCTGGTCAACATAAAAATTGGGCTATTGTATTTCCAGCGGTTGTAAGCATAGGAACAAAAACTGTTTACAACTTACTACTAATCTTAAACACGATGCGTAAATCGCAATATCATCTTGTCCTTTCTAACAATAAATTCAACCGCAATAGGACCCCTAAGTTACATATTATGACTTGAAGTGACTACGATTCGAAATTAAAACAACTTTATATCTATCACAATAATAATAAACTTATAATTAAATAGTTTCACTGTACGTAACGTGCAAAGGAACAATGGCAGTGCCGGTGCCCACAAACCATACAAAATATACAGCCTTTCATCTAACTCGATAATTATTTTTATGTATGTGCAATACGCAAACCATGTTGCTTTATTTATGTAAATGGAATAAGTAGAAGAAATACTATACATATTAACTATATGTAAAAGATGAACATAAGTTTTATTTTTACAAAATAAAAGCGTATTTTATTGCCTTCCCCCGATGTTAGAAGTCGATCGACGTAATATATGAAGTCAGATGAAATTAAATTTATATTTTAATATATTTTTATAGATAATTTACTTATTTCCTTTGTTATAAGCAACAAAATAGATATTTCTACTTATAGTCAAAGAAATCAACTAAATAAACTGCAACTATATTTAATATTCAACATGATTTGTCACATAAATGCTTGTTCAATCAAATTGAAATTGCCCATTAATTTTGTAACAATTATCTTCTGGAATTTGATTGCTTCCTTCTTTGTTCAACTCGATCAATTTTCCCTTTGGTCCCATATAACATCTGCCTTACTCCTAAATCTAAATCTATTTCTTTTACTGAATATGCTTTCATCGAACAAAATTGATGATCATCTTAAACATTAAGAGGTAGATTGTAATTTCAAAAGCATGTTACCTAGAAATGGAAAGTGTATGCGCAAGCGGTACCACATCTAGAGTTAGACCTGATCAGAGCTCGACGCCTGTCACCTCCGGTGCTGCGGCGACGCAACTCCGCGCGGAAAGTTAACTAAAGTAGCACGCGGGGCTTAACCTATTAACCGAATAGGACTTACATTTAACACTCAAAAGGTACTTATGTTAGACACATGTAATCGTCAGTCTTTATATCAGTCCTCGATCACGGATTCACCGTTGCAACTAAACGTTGTAGTTTAAAGTATTCTCGTACTTATACACATGGTAATTAAAGCGATAGTTCCATGCGCCGGCTGCGGGCGGCAATGGTGGAGATGTTCAAGTGCACGTGGCACACGACATTCGGTATTGTGGCGCTTTGTGCGGCCGGGCGTGCGCATGCGCGTGCGCGACTAGGGCGCTAGAAGTGCACGTCGCGCACGTCAGTGGGTGTGGCTGCGCTGTTGTGCGTCTTGGGTTGCGCGGGCGGCGGCGTCCAGCCCCCCGCCGCCGCGCGCGTCTGCCCGTTTGGGGCCGTCGCGACGCGCTCCTCTATCATCACCTGTACCATCTCCTCTATCTGCTCTAGGCATGTCTGAAGGCAGTCCTGTGGAATTAAACTTTATTAATGATACAATGCTTGCTAATATGCAAAAGTATTTTAGAAAAGCATATTAAGGTACACTTGTACTCACCAAGTCGATGCCGGTGAGGTCGCGCAGTCGCGGCAGGTGGCCGTCCATGCAGAGGCCGCGGAGAGCCGCTGCTATGCTACAGCACGCCAGCGTGCTCGCCGAGTACAGCGTGAACTCGTAATCTGCAACAAACAAAGGTATATGTTACCAATATGCTTCAAATCAAATTCAAAAGTGGTAGCATTGATCAAGCTTTGGTAGACTTTATTCCACAACTTGTACTGATTATTTAAGATTGTGGAAATGATTTGTACAATCAGAAGTATATCTATTGTCCCCTATACCTAAGTTTTATTTTATAATACATCGTATATGGCAGCAATGTACTCGTAAGAGCTAATGATGTGTGTCAAAGCTATAATTGCACAATAATGTTGTGGTTACAACGAACGCAAGCAATGCAATGTACCGAGGCGAGGCACCAACGTGCGCTACGATTTAAATAACAAACGAGCGTTTTGCCGAGCGATATCAGTTCGAAACCGGGTCATGCTTGTGTACATAGGTTAGCTAGTTTTGTAGCTGCGGCCGTAAAATTGATGTGTACTTATCACATTATTGCATTAAAATGTTCCATTGTTAAGTTATATTACAGCTTACGCTTACCACTATATACGAGTATGTATACGAATCAACAAATTAACTTTTCAACTAAGTTTTCTAGCTCACAAAGAATTGTGGGTTTATCATGTTAATGTAAAATTATTAACAATCTAACTAATACTACATTATAAATAAATATGTAACAAGTAAATAAGACGTTTTTATTCTAATTAATGAGCATCACCATATTTGGCGTAAGGAAATTCCGTTATAGAGGCAGACAGTTAAATGTGAGACGCGGTGCACACGAGGGCAGAGCGCAGTACGCGTTGTCCAACGCAATATCCGGCAAGTTTCAAGCTCTGAAGTCCTTTCTCCTCGGCAGAGGTTGTCGATCGTCTGGAGAGCGCGCCTCAAAGGAACCGGCATCCGCCCGGGCCCCTCCGGGCCCCGCCGCCACTCACCCGGTACATTTCTCACGGGCTCGCTTCGCCAAAACCATTATACCTACGCACATACTCATAAAAACGGCCCCGACGTCAACCAATTTGGGGCTGGACGTCTCAAGTTGCACGTTAAGATAATTGGCAGCGAAATAAAACGAAACGAGAATAACATTGTAACACCTATAATCGATTCGATTCGGTCTCGTGTCACCTTCTAACGAAACTTTGGTAATGGAATTCGATAAAAATGTCTTTAAAATAAATCGAGGTACATACCGAAGATAATAATCGCATCAATAAACGCGCAGTACCTAAAAAGGCAAATTGCTTATTGACATATCTTCGGGAATATAAACTCTCTGGACCTCTTAAATGAAAATCACAAACTCACATTTTGTTTTGGTAATCTTTTGCCGGCGTAATAGACTCGATAAATTTATTCTCTTAAAAATATGTTTGAAACTACCATTGTTGTGTTAAATAATTAATATATTTCATTAGTACGATTTATCTTTACAGTTACGAAAAATTAAAATGACAAAAAACATACAAAGTCGCTATCACCGCATACGAAGGTATTCAAAACGCGAACTCCGCTTATGGATTACTCGTTTAAAATGAATACATATAAAAACAATGTTTAATTAAATGTAACATAAAAATCGCATGTATTTACTTGTGGTAATTAAGGAGCCTGTATTCCGACACGCAGTTATCGGCGACTCGGCGGTTCGGCGGCAGCGTGTACGTACGTGTTCCCAAACGATAAAGCAGCAGGAAAATCAGCTGTTTGACCTTGTGAATCGGACATACCTAATATCCCCATAACCATACTTATAATACAAATAATTATATCATAAACTTAAATAACTATATTCTCACGCGGTTATAATCATCTATTCAAGATACCTACCGAAAAAATGAGAGCACTGACAAAACAAACGAAGCTTTCCAAGAGTCCTCTTCATTCATCATGAAGTAGGCGTATTGTGCCGGCCGGCGCATGAATATCGAACACTCTTTCAGGTTCATTTAAAGGGTTCCTTTCCATGTTTTTTGTTCGATTTGCATGTCGGCATTCCCGAGATAAAGGGCCGGGCGGAGGGAACGTATAAAAAAAACAGAGATGAAACGAAGAGAGCGGCTCACTCGAAGCATTTGCATAATCTGATGTTAATCAAACGCGGTCGTACGCCGCGTTTTGAGTCCAGCTTGGGTCCACATCAATTCACTGCGAGCTCCACTTGCTCGCGATGCACTGGAGGGAGGGCTAAGGCGCGCAGGACATATGCGCGGCGGATGTGCTCGTTCACTGCCATACTTGTAGAACTCTAACGTCGGAACTTACAAAGCTCTTGACGAAGTGACGATTGAGCAACCGGCTATAGGACAGTAATTGATGGATATCACGTCTCAATTCGAATGACAAGTTACATGGTTGTCGCGTCTTTTGGGTAATTAGTGCAGGGCGAGCGCGTGGGTGACACAATATTCGTATTATTATCCTTGAACGTGGAGCAGGAGTAGGTATGAGCTACGGGCTACGCGCGGCGACGACGGCGCGCGAGGTGAACGCTCCCGCGAGGCCGCGCCGATAGTTACGCCACTGGGGCCGCGTTTCAAAGCGCCGACCGGAACTAGCCGGTACCGAGAAGTCCGCTACCGATGCGTCCGCACATGGAAGAACTGCGATAAGATAAACCCCAACATAATCATCGACGTCGCGACACCGCCGCGCGATAAGCTTCTCAGGAACCTAGTTCCCCTCGTTCGCGATGAAGTCCTCGCCGGTTAACATGCAGTTCTTTTGTTAGGTAAATCTAATAATTTATCTCGATCCGCTCCGGCTCGACTTGTCAGTTTTCAAATAACCCATTACAAATTTAATATCCCGGCGAATTATGAATCCACAGAGCGAATTGTGGCATTCGAGTAATGATATATAATGCGGGTCCGGTCGATGCGGCAGCGGGCGGCGGGCGGCGGAGTGCGGCGGGCAGAGGCCGGTCGTAACGCGCCGCCCTGTTATGTTGCCAACATAATCGACGACTATTACCGCGGCACATCATAAATCTGAATAAGAATAATCATAGTTCACAGTAACATTACGAGCTTATACATTCCCTGCTTATATTATTATCCTCATGTTATCGCTTATCGTTACTTAAAATGATAAATCAATGACCTACAAATATAGAACTCGTGTTCTTTTTATATGCGTTACTTCATGTGATATCTCTGAGAAAATATGAGATAACTTACGCGTGCACTTTGCAAATGCAAACTCAATAAAAAAAAACTTGTAAAATATTAAATCTGCTGTCAGTCACACATTGTTGCGGTTGCGGTGTTCTCAGGACTCGGAACACAAACTCAAACGCATTACTCAGGATAACTAGAATCGTCTAGTTGTGAGCAGCGACTCATGTTAACCCCTTTAGGCTAATAGTACTTGATATCTGAGTAGGTAGTGAGATGAAAGAGCTGAAGCGTGAATTATAAGTTAAAAAAAAAACAACTTGAGAGGCGGCGAACAACAAAAACCGTTGCACAAAAACATATGATCCCAAGAGCTTGCGGGGAGTGCGGATGCTGGCTGGGCCAGGGGGAGGGACGGAGCGGGATAAAGGGCGCGGGAGGGAGTCCCGAGGCGTGCTGGAATGCGAGCGAGCGAGCGGCGTGGGAGGCGCCGCCGGGACACACACGCCGCCTTTTACTCGGCCATTCTCTACCCTTGTAAACAAACCTATTCAATACCTCGACTTTCCAAACCTAATATAAACAATTCCACGTGTGTTCCAGTGCCGAATGTCAACCGAACTCACAACGCGACGCCTTTGTACGGACATAAGTTGGAACGCCGCAGTATACTCAAAGTTGTCTAGAACTTGTATTCAATAAATAATTGAATAATTATCGAGGTACAATATGAATATGTGCCAATTTACAAAACTTGAAAGTACCAGACGCTCTAATCACCACCCCAAGACTCATGTTTCTAAGGTGAGCTAAGTAGTAAGTAAAAGACTGTTGACAAACGATTTATTTTGGTTAAAAAAACATCGATTCGTTCATCGTACGAAATGCTTCACTTTTGTATGTATAATCGAAACTGCATATAGAGATGTATAAAACCAAGCCAAGTTTCCCCAGAAGCGTGGGCGTGAAACTTAAAAGGCAGAAAGTGACATCATCGAAACATCGACGGCATGAATCAGGCGATAACTAGAGCGTTCCCATAGCGAGGGCTCGTGGGATACGCGAGGTTACTGACACATGACACGCACGTGACAGGGGGGGGGGGTCTGACACCGTCGTGACCTGCTATCCCGCGCTAATTACTGCCCCACACCGCAATGTTAAAACTAACATGGATCCCTGTTGGTATGCTTATGTACCATCACGAAGCGATGAACGCCCGAGAAAGTCAACATCCGGACACGTAAAGAACAAATAAATAACATTTGCAAGTTTATTTGCGAATAATGAAGACCGTAAATTGGTTATATCCATTTCAAACAAAAGTACAAAATGGTGCAACATGACTGCAAGTTTTATCCCTATTTACGTAACCTATTTTACTAGCATACGGATCATTTTTAATATAACATTTTAAACATGCAAATGAATAAGGAAATAGATTATATATTACATTGATTGGCTATTAACTGGTTGTTTTCAATTGTTTTGTAATAATTAATAAATAAACCATCTGACTGTTAATAGAACTTAGTCACAATTAACAATCCTTTTATTTTTATTCTAAGTTATATTTACCCGTGTCAACTTAGCTTCGAGTCAGTAGTAGAGCTTTAGAGAATTTATTTATAACATTTAAAATCGGTTCCACAGTTTTTAAGTATACATGGAACACAAGCAATTTAATCGTCGTTTTACATTAGTATGGAGTAAAACTTGTCTATTCCCCTATTTCGTCTTGATCACCAAAACTAATTAGTGAATCTGCAAAGGCGACAATTTGCACAAATGTTTGTTCAATAGTTTTAGCTGTCGCGTTTGCGTTCGTTCCTTTTCTTCTTGTAATATGTGTATCTGGTGACTTACCTCTAGCAGCTAACGCAATAAAGGTCTGTGCGTGGCGCTGCACCATGTCTGTGTTGACGAGGGCGGGCAAGGGCAGGCGCGCTAACAGCAGCGGCAGAAAGTCGTGCGCCGTTACACCCGCCACGTCCCACTTCAGTTTTGACAACACCAGCAGTTCCCAGCTCTGTACAAAATGATAATAACTCAGTAACGATGTTGACGTAGCACTAAATCTGGTGAAAACTGTGTGATATGTCGTTACAATATATGTTAAGTGAAGTCACAAATCTCGGAAAGTACAAAGCTTTCATAAAAACGGGTGTATGGGCAAACAAATAACATACATAAGCCACATCAAAATCTTTTAAACATCTATAAAATAAGTTCGTAATATAACCCTCTGTGTGTCCGTTTACTTTTATAGTGACCGCATTCCATCCTGGGGTTTAAGCTTTTATTGGCATTTTTAATTACCGTTTTAAAATAAAATCTATATATGTAGTTTTTCAGTTATTTTTAGTAATATATACTATTGCCAACATAGCTATATACTCACATCTATTGGTATACATTAATTTGGCCACTAACATTGTTCTTAAATAGACTATTCTCATAATGTGAATCTTTGTAACCTGGATTAAAATAAATTATCATAAGGTTTATTTATAAAACAAACATATTCAATCGTCATCTCGGGGTGTTAATACTATGACTGATTAAGTAATAGTTAAACAACATCGTTAGATATAGAATAATATCAAAGATATAAGTTCTAGTTGTATAAACTCGTGTCCCGTATCACAAGCAGTGGTCGGTTTACAAAAGAAATCGTCTAATCGGTAGGACAAAATGACATTCCTGCGTCTACAATCTACATCCGTCGTATAATCATAAACAAGCCGAGTTCCACCCGACTTCCCGGAACGGTGTCTCTCGCACATTGTTACACAGCAAACAAACCAACATATTGTTTTTATATTCTAACATTGGCCGATTGTTTAAAGAGCTCAAGCAGTCAAAACATCATACATAGAACAGCCGACATCCTGTTATAAAACTTGCTATTTTTTAATACAAAACATAATCTATATGTATAAAAATCAATTTATGTTCGTTAGTCTCGTTAAAACTGGGGAATGGCTGAACAGATTTATCTTATCTTGGTCTTGAAATGTTCCTGAAGGACTAGGTAAGGTTAAAAGGTGAGAAAAATTGGAATCATTGACGAGAACTACTGATGTTTTTCTCCCAATTACGCGCGGACGGAGTCGCGGGCGACAGCTAGTTTACAATATTTGTATCATAAATAAATCGAAGTACAAAAGGGCAACAATGAATATAAGGTTGATTCATATTGTTACGTAAGTTGTAGGAAGCAGTTAGGTCGGTGTTACATCATTCTATTCTGTAGGTTGAACTCATTTATCACTAAAAATGCAATTCTATCCAATTAAGTTAAGTAAGGGAAAATTAGTAAGATGCGTCCTTTTTAACAGCTTGGTTATAACCATAAAATGATGTGATATATGTACCTATATTTACATTACTTTTTATTTATATTTCTATCGTAAAAACTATTTAAATAAGTAAATATTATCTTAATGTGTACGTAATTTATATTTATATTTATACATATGGCATAAAAACTTGCAATTTTTGCTTCTTATCTTTAAATAATACTTTTAAAATGCTTTGATAGTATTTTTTGTTATCTCTCTAGGTACAGCTGACCTAGATTATATTAATTAAACCGCTAATGTCAACTTCCACACAAAGCTCGCTGTATGAATGGTTGATTTTATGAATAAGTCGATTATCTCGTGTCCATATACACACGCACACAGGCACACACGCACACGAGTGATGCATGGCCGTTGACAGATAATATTCGATGTTTACTTAACTCAGGCGGCGGGGTCGCGCCTCGCGCCGCTCCTCGAACGCGATACCGTTCCATTTCGTTTTTCATACCGATAGAGTTTAAAATTGTCCGACGCGGTTTAGTGCTTAGGCCCTATCGCTTCGTGATAAGCCGCGCTTGTGAATGAATGAAGTCTCATCGCTGGAAGTCGCACGGATCGTGCGCCAGTACTCGACATAGCACTCGATAGAGGGGGCGTCGATATATAGCGATAACGTCGCGGTTGACGTTTTCGAAGGCGTATATGATATAGACGTGAAAAATAAAGTTCAAGGGAAAAAAGTTTAAGCGAGGACGGTTAACGACGATGCGGTATGCGGGTCGACCGCGGACTGAAAAGCTTTTTTCTCCGACGCTCCTATCGCGACGAAAGCTGTTTAAAAACAATGTACGCATAAAGCATTCACCGCAGATACCGCTGCACGCGACGCCGCCGGATATGCACACGCCTTAGGATTATATTTACGCTTATCTACGACGCTAAGGGGGGTTATAATACTACATAATACATGCTTGTACTTTTTGTACGCTCTAGTACGCCCGCAACAATGAAGACGTTTCACATTCATACATTAATGATACGCGATTATTGGAACAACGTGAATTAATTGGTTTGAAAACTATGTTAAAACTTAAAAGTTTTCTTACATTAAAAAGGACTCAAGCACGGTTCGAGGAAAAACTGGGTGTGCGGAATGCGGCTCGTAAATATCCAATGTAGTGGTCATTAGAGAAGCGAGACGCGGGCGCGGGTGAGGGCGCTGGCAAACAGTTATCGTCCACGTTACAGTCAATAAAGTGAGCAATGCGAGCAGCCCTCGCGTACCACACGCACCGCCGCTGGCTGCACAGTTCCCAGCCTCTATCCAATTTCATCGCACACTGTAACAGCACTGCATCGCTGCGAGCGAACAATACGCAACGTCGAGGCGCACACCGGCCGTACCATACTTATTGCTAATATTCCAAATCCAAACACATCACATTGTAGTGTTACCCCACAATTATATAAATGGGACCGTTATTTTATAGTTTTATTAATGATTTGATATGTACAGTTGACACTATCTAAAGATTTAAGTCTAGATGCGTTAAGCGGTAATAATCGATCAGAAGCCTAACGAGTAAAGCCTGAATATTAAATCCCACTCAGCCATTTGGAACGTGATGGACATACAGAACGTCGGTTGCGCTGCGTTATCATAAGCAAATTCCTATAAAACGCTGACAACGTTTCGCCAAACGTTCGACGAATAAACTGTCAAAGTCCATACTTGGGCATTTACGTTTGAGTCGAAACAACGTGGATATTAAGCAAGCTATTCTAAATTATGTGCACTTTGATGTCAGCTTAGGGTCGTTAAGTGTTATAGCTGAAAACGTTTGCATTACGATGTGAACTCGCTACCGCTGTTATCATGCCTTCGGTGGCTTCGTTAACCACAAAAAATATATTTTTTTTCCTCACAGCCGACGCCCGCATAGAATGAATTTTATTTGACTCTTACCAGTTTATAATTTTATTACCGCTGCAAGTCTTTTAGTTGCGATTCCATCAATTATTTTACCATGAGAAAATAAAACAAGAACCGTCCAAGGATAAGAGACACGTTTTTGTTGTTTGATTAACATGGCAATATCGGCCTGCAGCATATCTACATTAAAATATATAAATTGGTCGTATTAAAATGTTTATGATTTCTTTTAATGGCCTTTAATTTAAAAATTGTCCTATGTTTTGAACTATTGCTTCAATTTAATTAAATATGACCATATTTTATTTATCTCATTTCTTTTTCTGGAATATTCTATCGTAAGAACATATTGCTATTATAAACATTGATGATAGTAATGGAAGAAAATAAGGGTATGAGATTTGGTATGAGCGGGTCCGGGCGGGGGCCGGCAGACAGCAAGAGGCCGGCTGCGGAATGTGACTGGTTCCCCGTCCCGCCCCGCACCCTGCGCCTCGCGCTCGCCCGCCGTGAGAACAATGCGAAGAAAGCACGAATCGTTAACGAAAATCTCTGCAGCTCACTCCTTAACCCCTCGACGCGTCGTGCGTTTTGCGTCTGAGGAGGGAAGCTTCATTACACCGGAAACAGGCGGAGTTGCACCGTGAGATTGGCAAACAAGACGGTCTCGTAATTTCGCTCATTCCTGGTATTGTTAACTCTCGGCGCACCGACTATTTGCCGAGTCTTCTAACACGTCTAGAAATTCTTAGTCTCCCCGGCTCGTATTCGCTTCTCTCGGCAAAATGTTCCTATCTTTTCCGTAGAGGCATGATGAGAAAACAAATACATATGTAACTTTTCCCTTTGGCAGCTTCAGTATTTGTTAATTGAGTGGCCCGATTGCCCACAGATGTGATTGGGTACATTTTCCGTAGTGATATTCGTTTCTAATAACAATAGAGATATTAAGAGCTGGCTAAACATAATTGATGTCGATTGCTATAAAATAAATTAAAGTACAAATTTAATTGGAGGAAAATTCCTACTCGACGCTAGAAGTTTTAGGAATTGATTACCTAACTATGTACATGCAATTCTTCGAAAAATTCGAAGTGTTATAAGTAAAATAGATTACAATAAAGTAATTATGTAATAGATACTGTACTTGCAAAGGCACGAGTAAGCGTTATACATATATTGAAGACGTGTCTCATAGAATAAGCAAAAAAAACATAGCACGTAATTAAGAGGTCAACGATCATGTTTTTTTTTCAAGTCCATAAATCTTCATGATTTATAATCAAAGGATTCAATAGATTGTAAATACGTTAAAGTCATGCGAGTGTGTTTCAATTGAAGTCGTGAGACCGGAACCAATCCACTCAATCAATAATCAAAACGTAACTCGACGGAGCCACGGGGTCTTATAACCTCTTTTTATTATCGCTATTGACCGACAAAGATAAAGAACTAACACCATCGCTCTCCACGTACCCTCGCACACTGGCGACACACTAGCGCCGCGCTGCGGACTCTATTGTTGAACAATATAGAATTATGTTTATTACATTGTCCTCATTTGTACTTAACTCATACGTACATTGTTGCAAAGGTCGCGGCATATAATCTAAAGATGTAAAGCGATTTACGTAAAATTAAACGTTCCCTCGTTAAACCTGTGGCGTCGTACGGTAGATACAATATTGAATTTTCTCTTTACTAAAGCTGGTACCGCGAGTCATAAACTTATGCTTCAATTATAATAAACGTTTACGTTTGTGTGCTAGTGTAGATGTGAGAACGCGCAGGTTTTATGACCGGGGCGGAGGTAGGGAAGGCGAGCGGGGGAGGGGCGGGTTCAACCGTAGGAACTCCGCATTATAGCCGTCTCGGATGCCAAAGCGCGCTCTTTTTGTTCAAAACATCGAGTCTGCAGCGAAGCTAGCTGATGAGCGATGAAGTTTAAAGCAACCCGCTCGCAGAGTCCTTTGCCAGTTACGTTGATTACGACATAGAGATTGAGAATAGGCAAGAAAGTCATTGTAAAACAAAACTATAATGAGATGCGTTTGCATGAAATATTAATTGATATTGTCGGCGGCGCGGCGAGTGCGGTCTCCGGCATTCGTCACACATGGACGATCCATTATGAGAAAGGAATAATTTTAGTATGCAACAAGTGTGACGGCACCGTTAGAACACTGCGGTTAGGTAACATGCATAACCATAAAATATGTTTTAACTATAGATGTATATATTTTTGTACTTCTAAGCCCCCTAAGTGCATAATGAAGACATCTACAATAATCCGTAGACGTGCTACGGAAGTGCTACGATATTGCGTGAACGTAAATAACACGTCGTATATAAAGTATCATAGTGTTTATCGCTAATTTTCTCTTTGATTGCTTAACAAGGAGTAATGCCACTTATCTGGAAATATAATGTATCTCAGGAAACTTAGGTTTAACTTACAATTATACTTGGATTAGTTATATTATTCCAATTTTTAGGGCAATAATTTTCCATTATTAATGATAAATAAAGTAAAATATAGTAAGTAGGGAATCCTTATTTTTAATAATGATATACTTTCTGTAAAGACACAACTGTGGCCGATTGTAAAGAAGATCGCGCAAGCGAGCCGGTAGGCAGAGGGAAGCAACGAGCTGGCGGGCTGCGCGCGCTCAGACGGCCCAGCCCCGCTTGCGTCTTTGGATAGAAAATTGCGAAATGAATTATAAATAGTGACATTTGAAGTGCGAACTTATTCGGTGTGGAGCAAGTCGTGGATGAGTTGAGCGCGGGCAAGCGGGCAAGGTTAGCCGCGGTCGCGCCGACAGCGACGGCGGCGTGAGAAAAAATATACGGCGCGCTTCATCTGTAATCGGCCCGATTGAAACGCGGCTCTCGTTCGACTGTTCCGAGAAGGCTGTCGGCTCGTTAGGGGACACCGCACAACCCCGCCGCCGCGCCCTGCCGCATTCCGCGACGACAACGCCGATTTCGTATAGATACCCGCGGCTTTTTGTGCCCGGTGACGGCGTAATTGGCGCGACTCGCATCGGGACTTATCGAGCGCTTTCGTAGCGAGTGCATTGCGCGTGCACTCCTCGAAAGAAACGCACACCGAAGTATGACGTGACGTATTGAGATCCGTCGTGCACTTATTATCTACGGCCGCCGCAGCGACGCGGCGGGGCCCCATCGGGTGGCGGCGCCCGGCGCGCGACCGAAATGCACCGCGCGCTACGTTTTATAACGAAACGCTCGAAATCACTCGCGATCACGTATAGCTAGCAGCTAGAGCGAAAGGCTAATACGCTTTTAAAGTGCTCACTCTAGAAGCTCATGTATAATTTATCCGCGGACACGTGGCGTTACGAAAAGCTAGGTGCCAACGCCCTTTATTAGGCTTAGACAATGTGCTCCGTGGGAATGTGACCTATTTTTTTTTTAGCTTTCCTTGAAACTAAAGTGAAACGAATATACGAATGTACATACACAGAATGTACATATGCAGGTTTCGAACGTATTTAAATTAAAGTCAACTAATTTCTTTCTTACAAACGATGACCATTTCAAAAGTGTGAAATATTAATCTAACTTTAGCTGAAATGCGTTGACTTCATTTACGATATCAATATATCACAACAGTAGCTGTAGTTAAAAAACGTTAACGCAATCACAGTGACTTTCCAAAGCACTCACAATAAAAAACGTTCCAAACATCACATTTATTTTTATGTCACCTCTTAGGATCCACGTATGACACACAAGTATTTTTAGTGACCGTGAATTTAGCGTATAAATTGCTTTTATAGACGACTAGATAGCTTCGCTCAGCATCACTGTTGTTATGTAGAAATACATTGACTGTTTTGTATTATTACCTAAAAATCAAAGACGGCGTGAAATCATCAATTTAACTTCGGACGACTCGACAGCGCCAGCCAACGTGTACGATCTCTGCGCGCGTTCAACCGAGGTGTTGTATGTCGTCATTTCGTTCGATTAATTAATGTACCGTCACAAATCTGAAATTCCAATCTCTCACGGATGCTTCGCCGGCGGTCGGTGTAGTTAGAAATCAGCGGAGTGAACGACACGAAAGCGCCTAGCGCTAGCGACGAGCGGCGGGCGGCAGCGGTGCGCGCCGTTGCAAAAACTACATAATACTTTAAGATTAATGAGATCAGCCGTTTCCTCAGACGAGGAAAGCTAATTAAATCTTGATCAAATATTAATTATATAACGTGTATACAGTAATGTAATGGAGACTTACACAGAGGTCGGAGAGAGTAATGCTGTTGGCGGTGTAGAACACGAGTAGGTCGGCGGGTAGGCCGCGTGAGCCTGGCTCCCGCAGCTTGGAGGCGAGCAGCAAGCAGGCCGTGCCAAGAAGTTGCAGCTGGCTCTTGCCTACCGCGCACGTGCTCAGGAACCGGTCCAGGTATGACATGGCCAGCGGGAATACCTCCTCCTGGCAACTCTGGTCCTCGCACACCTGCACAATAATATCTTCAATTAAAATCGATTCATATATACCGCCGCACCCGGATCGGCAAATTATCAAGCAAAATTTCTGATAACCTATATAATTTGTAAGGTTTGTAAAGTATGTTCGTCGCGATAAACGCATCGCTTCCCTGCATTCGAAATTCTTATCAGCAAAGATGGTTGTTGAACGTTATACGTTTCGAGTGGTGAATCGAGTTTATTTGCAGGCGCGCCGCTGACGTATCCACCCATCGGGCTATGGTTTCAAAATTAACGAAGTTTAGCGGCGGTTAGAATTCGAAATGGGTTCACCTTTCGCGAGCGAGCGAGTCGGCGGCACGGAATGTAACGGAACTTTTATCAATTTCCACGACGTCGGGCGGCCCGGGGATATTCGATTTACTTCGTGTCGCACCGCGAGACGTCGACTTCATCAAACTTAGTTGCGCTGTGTGTTTCAGGAAAGTAGGGAAAGCATAAACAGACGACACCGGTGTGACGGTAAGCCGAGAGCGAGTCGGGAGGCGGGAGGCAAGTGGGGAGAGGGCGCATTCGCCGCATAGTTTCGCACGGTAACCCGAGGCGGCGCGGATGCAGAACCTATTGTATCGCCGGAGAAATGTTTATAGTGCATTAGCCGGCAGCGGCAGCCGGTCAGCTGTTCATCTCACGCTCGTGTCGCTCGTCAGCTGACTTGCTCCAGTCTCGCCTTGACGCACCTATTGTTCTCGGAATCAGAACTTCTATCATACACCGCGTACTGAGAAAATTAATCACCTAGTACAGATTTACGACTGAGTTGTTATTTCGTTCCCATCGTAGTCAACGGTGCATGTCAAGGAAATACTATATTTTCATTGTAGATCTAGTTAAAGTAACATCTTTGGCGGATGTTATTGAAAACTAATACAATTAACATTTTTCTGTGAACAGTTTTTTGTAAATTAATAGTTAAAAAAAAGATTAGTTGCGGAGATCAGTTTCATAACATTTCGTTTAAACAAAACGTAAGGCGATGAGGTCACACGTCTGCGTAGGTCGGCGCGTGACGATGCGGCCGGTACTTCGTAAGTACGAGTTAATTTGATATAAAACATGTAAGTATATATAGACATGTCAGTGACCTTACAGCCGCGGTTTCGGTATTCTTGTGCTGAAAATCGGTATGCGACTGGTTTAGACGATACGTGGCCACGAGGCGACGACGGCGATGGATGCCGCTGTGGTCCCGGCCCGAGACAGCGCCGCCATCGCGCGCGTGACGTCACCGCGCCGCGCTCGCTCGCCCCACGTGGCCGCACTTCACAGCTGACTGCTCGCAGTGCCGATGCCGAGTGTTCTACTCTACCCACTGCACTATTGCTTAGAGCTTCTACTACTAAATAATACCATTAACATTTAGTGAAGCCAAATCCAACATACGATAAAACGTTTTAGTTCTTTTATTTATTGCGAGATATTTTGTATGACTGCAAGTTAAGTCATATAAATTATAAGAATCGATAAGTGTATAATGCAAATTATTCAAATCGCAATGTTATGCGAGGAGCCGACAATCGCTTGTATAGCCGGCGACGATAAGTGCGCGTCCGGCGCGGCGTCAGCTGTGTGCGTGTCAAAATCAGCTGATTATTCAAATAGAACGAGCGAGTCGCATCGGTCGGCGACCGCCGCGCCGCGTTCCGGCCGGGGCCCCTCGCGCGCGCCTCGCCGCGCCGCCGCCCGCCACCCGCCGGTACATTCTGACTGCGACCCACCATTATACTACCTACAAACTGTCGCGCTGTGTGCCGACCACAGCCCAAAACCTGCACCTTTTACAATTATATCGATACACTGTCGATGGATTTGTCACTCGAAATATCGCATGCAGGTACGATAAAATCCAATCAGGTGTTTTACGGGCCAACCTGTCTCGTTTCCCGGAAATGGCCCCTAACGATGATAGTAATATCCGAGAATCCGAGACTATAAAATTACTTTTAAAATATTGAGGACTATGTCTCAAAATAATTAGTAGTTTTGTCATATTCTAATATGATTCTAATACGAAGATACAAAACACAATCAGCTGATCGTGTAAACATCAATACTGCATTCAAACGAGGACTTTATTACCTACCGAATAGAGCATAAATCATACGGATACTGCGGACACCTTCATACAAGACACTAAGGTGTGGACCATGAACGCCGGCCGCGACAATCGGACTCCAAAGTGGGCATCCTGCGAACGATTCGGCCAGGAGTGAGCGGCGGGGGCACATGGGGACTCCGTGTGCGCAGGGCGCAGCCGGGAGGAGCAGCAGGGCTACACGTGGCCGCCGACAAGATGGCGAACGGCCGGTGTGGGTGCGGCGTGCGCTTGCGCCTCGCGGGTGCGCTCACCTCTAGCATCCACTCGGCGACGAGGCGGCGCATGTGCGGTGTGATCTCCGTTTGTAGGGTAGCGAAGTAGTTCGCGGTGACGGCGTACCGCTCCTCGGCGCGCAGCAGGTTGTCGAGCACGCGGCGGCGCAGCAGTACCGGGTCGCAGCCGGCGGCTCGCGGGCCCGGCGCAGCCGCGGCCGGTTCACCCGCGCTGCCGGCGCTGCTCGGGCTGACGCGTTCCTCGCACAGCAGGTCCATCGCGCACCGCACTGCGGCCGGCCGGACACGGGAGCGGGACTCGCTAGCGCTGCTCCGCGCGGACAGCTGATCGAGCGCCACTGGCGGTGTTGCGGCAGCGACGAGTGCGCGACTCGCAGTGAGCGGCTGAGCGCCGGCGCGCGCCTCGCTCACGAACATATGATCGGCGGGGGAGCGGGGCGGCGCGGGGAGCGGTGCCGCCCGTGAGGCCCGCACGCAGGTTTCTCCCGATTCGACGCTCGAATAATAATACATAACGCGTTCTCTCGCTCACTCGCACGCCATTGCCGGCTGGAGTCTCGCTTCTTCTTCTAGTATTTACAAAATGAGATGAATTCCGAGGATTGATTTTTATAAAAGTGACCACACCACAGTACTCATCCGATCCTGTATACCCGGAGTGGCGAGACGACAGCGGTTAATTACGAACATCTCGATTTTCCCACTGAGTGCTGAGTGTGTGAAATTTTACCGACATGGAAAGGCGCGTCGTTAATTACTTAAAAAACTGGGATATCTATGCCCGTCGCCTGCCGCACAATAACTTGTTTAAAACGCGCCGCCCGACCAAGCTAATAGAAATATGTAACTAGGGTATAAAAAATGATCTAGCTATGTCTAACTTTAGCTTATAGGTCCTACCTACCAGTAGGTACAGTAGTGTTAAAAACATTTTATTATCATAATGAAATGGAAATTGACATGAAAACGTCAATGCTACCATTACAATCACATCTTAATTTCTCGATCCCTTCAAATAGGTAGGCATCTAGGTAACACTTTATTTTAGATTCATAAAAAATCTAACTATACCTTAACCCTTTTTAGTTTTTTTTACAATTTCATCTTTCTTGTTTACTATGTGTGTTTTATGCCGATGGAATATACCGCCCACTACTAGGCATAGGACTCCAAAGGTCGCTGCGATGATTGATTCTGTGGCGCCCGTATCCAGGATACTCCCGTTCGTTCGTCTTGAGATACTGCGGTTAGTCTTGGAATGAGAGGATTCTCCGTAGCTTCCTGAATGCCGAATCGGATTCGATGATTGACTTTCTTCTTAGAGTAGAGTAGAACATAAATAAATGGACCAGGTAGTCTCAGGCTAGGACTAGGCAGGCTAGGACTCGTCAATTCTTCGAGAGTATGGCCTCCAATGTTTATTGCAGTTGGTGATACCTTAAGAACTAAAATTATTTACTTCTGTATATATAATATTTAAATGAATCCTAATAGAACAATGTTAAACGAATTAAAGAATGCTTTAAAGAGCGAACTTCTTTCTAGAAGGCGAGGAACGCATCTGGAAGATTTCTATGCATGTTGGATAACATTAGACGGGCCGCTGTTCATTTGTCCCTTTCGCCTATAAAAAATGTTGTTTATGGCAAGATATATCGCATAGTTCATAAAAATATCGTACGGTAAGGTTACCGACTATCTAAAACGTGTATCGGTTACAGGCTTAGTGTCGACATTCGGAATCAATTATCTAGGCGATCAGTAATCTTCGTCAGCTGTTTATCGCAGTGTCGGCGAGGTGGCCACGCGTACAATCTTGCATCGATCATTACGTGAGCAACTTGAAATTACGATGACAATTTTTTTGTTAAATTTAAAGATGCACACTCATAATTCAATGACGTTTTTATAAAGTTCATTGAATCTATGGTTATTAGTACTAATACGATCTATTTATAATTCGATTGCTATATGTTTTATTTTTAAACTTATAATATGATATTATTATCACGGTTAACTAAATAAACTAGATAAACATACAGATAGAAATATTAAAATTGACTTTTTTGTTATAAGTAAAGCAAATACGTTATGATATATGCACGGAATATTTTTTATTCGTACATACATTCCTATTTTATTAATTGTATAGATAGGTAAAAACGTACGAAACGTGGATGAGCTTTCGGGGTTAACAACCCCGAATGGCATACGTCAATCACCTAACAGTAAATGTTGTTATAACTATCAGTGACAATATGAATATTAATGCTAAGTCTATATAAATACTTATGAATATTCTTGCATATCGACCTGACCTTGTTGTCTAGCTAGTAGCTCAACCATAGGTCCGGGGTTAAAACATAGGTAATAAAACCATAAAATACTGTTTATAAGTCTTTATAAGTATTTACTTGGCGAAAAATTTATCATATATCGAAACTCCTCCTCCTCCTCGAAAATTTTAAGCCATTGCTCTTCTATTTGATACATATTATTTTTGCCTTATAAATTATCTTCGCACATAAAAAAATCCGAATTATTATGCATTTATCTTTTGCTGGTTAGATTTAATTCTTCTGTTTTAAAATGATTAATATAAACTCACACTGGAATGTGTATGTGCGGAGGTTCGATCGCTGGACTGGAATAATAGGAACATAAAGTTACACTGACTAAAACAATATGAATATCTCTGTACAGCTTTACTTAATTATTGTTTGTTGTCTATTTAAATAAATAAAGTTCGAATCGTGGTAATAATGACCTCATATCTATTTAGTTAGTAAGCTATATAAGATGTTTTCCTCATTGTGAGGTAAACTGAGTCACTTTGATGAAGGCCACATGAATGCATCGCATGCAAGCCGTTAAGTTTGTATTAAAATTGTGATCCAATTGTTTTTATTAACAACATTCCAGCTATTTATCTCAGTTTGTGGATACATTTGAGAGTATTTTTCATTATAATTAGTTTTTGTGAACTACGAACTCTAACCAGTGCCCCAACGTTCTTTTATCGTCAAGCGCGCGGTTGACAGGGAGTCATGTAGTGAACAATGGTGGAAGACAGATATTTAGAAGGTAAAATTTTCTAGATAGGAGTATATAGGTTTATTTTTTAATTTCACAAGAACAACGAGTACAACATCTCAGCGAAAAGATTTCTTCTATTATATATTAGTATAGTTAGGTTTTTAAACGGTCTGTAAAAAAATTAATTTCCTTTTATTTATTTATTATTTTCTAATTTAAGGTTTAAGGATTAACTTTAGGTAAGTTACTGTTAATTTATTATTTAAGAAGAATAATGCCATAAATTAATAAAATGCTTAACTAATCATTAAATAGTTTCATAAGCTTTAAGTAAGTGAATATTTGTCATTAAATAATGATTCCCTGTTAGGCTAAACATTTGTGTTTGCTTGAAATTCGACAATACAATTTAACTTTCAGACTATTACACTAACAGTAAGTTAGAATTCTGACAAACAGTTATCTCTTAGTTACTTTAACTTCACGTGCTTAGTAATAAAATAATAAACATTCCATAAGCTATTCAAGTTACTTTTTGTGTTGCCTTTCAAAACTTCTAAGAACTTTCTGTTGCTATTTGAGATACTACAAACAAATCATCTATAAATAGTATGGCTTACTCAAATCCCGTGTAAAAATACAAAGACATTCTAAAAAGAGAATTCTAATTTTTAAAAAAATAATAGTAAGTAACTCGAGTAATACATATTTTATGACCGGCAAAACGCCAGAAGATAATTCATAATTCTATTCATACACACTTTATCCTTATTTTTAGAAATCGTTTTTATTCGTCATATTAACGCATAAACTTAACTATATAATTTTATAATGTAATAACGAAATGTGTAAAATCAAGTGTTCAAATTTTATATGCGAAAAAAGTTAAGTTTGATTAAGCATTTTAAATTAAATATTTAATCTTAATTTTTAATAATAATATAAATACCAAAGTTGCATGGATGTTTGTTAGAAGGTATCTCCGTAATGGTTCAACGGATCTTGATGAAATGTTTCATGGATGTGAAACATAGTCAGGAAGAACACACAGGCTACTTATTAATTTTTTTAATTTCGCGCTGACGGAGTCACGGATGACAGCTAATAATATTATAAATGAGTATTATTAGATTTCTATTCATTCATTCGGCTGTAAAAAAAACATTGTCATTTCATCATTACAATCTAAAAAATATAAATGTTAATATTTTAGCATTATAATTAAAATATACGCACGCCAGTGATCGTGAATTTCATGGTTTCCGCAAATAGTAATCATTACTTTTATTTTTGTTACGATTAATTATATTTAGGTGATTTTATTATATATGCCTACACAATTTTACTAATATTAAAAATAAGAATGTTTAGATGGATGAATGGAAGGACACATAGGCTATATTAAGTTTTTTGTAATTCCGCGCGTAAGGACTCGCGGGCGACTGCTAGTTTACTATATGAATATGCCTAAATGGAATGCAGTGAATTTAATTGGTGGCCCATAGAGCGAACACATAAATATAGGTATGAGATTATTATCCATAATTATATATAATTCATTAGAAAATAAGTTAAATTTAAAGAGTACAAATTAAATAATTATTATGTTAGGTGTTTGGCCAAATATGATCATAGGAATATGATCATTAAATGTAATTCGATAAACGAGTAAACAAAAAAATGTGTAACAATCACAGCGTGAACTGATACGATAGACGATTCCAGTTCATCGGTTATACTTTTGTTGTAATTGGCAATGGCAATGACCAAGCAAAGCCGCCGCCGGCGACAATATGATTCGCGTGTTGATCGACTTGCTTTCTTTTTTTGCGAACCGTACCGCCTCGGCCCCAGCAAGCTCGGCACCCAGCGCAGGAAGTTCGCTATAACTGGCCTCCATTAATCACCGACTGGCTAATTTCCTTCACCAAACCAAACCATGAGGGCGACAATTTTATTGTTTCTCTCTTAATCTTATTTCGTAGGCGTACGCTGTGTGACGTCATTCTGAATTTGCGAATAATAAGTAGCAAACGATCCTTCAACTCAGCGGTTAAAGTACCAAAGTGTTGGGGTGGCACTGAGTTCGATTACCAAGACAAATATTTGTAGTATATACTGTTAGGTGTCTGTTTTTATGCTCTAATTTATCTGTTTATTTGGGCTCGAATATTAAAAGGCATACGCGATTAAAATTATGACAGTGTACAAAAGATTTACATAGTTTGAAAATTGAGTTTGACGGTAGGTTTAGAAAAATGTGTTCGACCTTTGACCGGATGTTTGTCAATTTAAATGTTGCCTCATTAGGTACTCGCATTGAAGCGGGCTAAGTACAAACAATGAACAGAATTCCAAAACATAGGCAATAAAGTTGAATGCTTAGTGCGAGAGGGACATCGGTGTTTTCTCGGAAGGGCGAGCGGCCGCAGCGAACGGCGAACAGGCCGGGCTGCGTAATGGAACGCGGCAAAGTGGAATGCAACCGGCATCGCCACGCCGAGCCGGCACCGTTTGCCCCACGAACAATCGCCTATCTCGACTAAAAATACACCTATACCCACTTAATGTTCAAAACTTTTATATTTAGACAATCCTAAACAGATTAAAAAATTATATTGTAAATTGTACTATGTGCAACTTTATAATTTTCATGCTCATAATCCAAAGGGGTAGACAGGGATAACATTACACCTCTCTGGCATATACATATAGTGTCTAGACATATAAGGATGTATGCTAATTGGTCGTACTTCTTTTTAGATTATAATATTTTAATTAACTCGTGTTATTAAATAAAGAACTAGAGAAATTGGGATATTCGATCAAAGGTTTTGATTCCGACCACCCAGTCACCTTGCTATTGTGGTTTAAAATAACTACAGGCGTAAAATTTGTTTAACTTTTCTCTTGTCTACAACTGGCCGCAATGTATACCTTTCTACAGGATATGACTAGCCGTGAAATAAATGACGATCTAATAAAAACTCCATCGTCTATTAATTAATTTACGCCTATTATAATATTATTTCACATCTTTACAAAATAGGCATTAAAGATTAAAAGCAGTGAATGCCAGAACATTTTCATGATTTCCTTTACTGTAATGTGATGTTTTTTTTATTTAACTTTAGTTACACTACTATTTTAAGATCGTAAAAAATAAAAACTTTACTTTTAGTCTTCGATCATTTATCCCGAAGTATAACCACAAATTCTATCTATCTATCTATCTATAACCACAAATTCAGTCCAGAGTCAAGTATAAATGAATATGTAAGAAGATATTGTTGATCCATCATCGTACATACCTTTACAAGAACATAAAATAGTTGTAATATGCTATAAATATTTGTCTTTAACATTTAAGAAGCTTAGTAATTTACAAAATGAATCTTGTAATAACCTGAGCACTTCGGAGAGTAGTTGTAATGATAGCTAGTACTCGTAATACGATGTTTTATTTTGAATTCCATTGCCCGGACAGTTTGCATTGACGTTAAGGTCTTCGTATAATACAAAGTTAGTGGATAACGGTCTACTGGGAAGATGCAACCGTTAGGTAATAGTTGCGCCAGCTTGGTTACTGCTGTCTTCATTATGAACCTTCATTTTTACGTCGTCATTGTCTAAAACTGTTCAGGCTATAGAATAAGATGAACTGTGAACTTTTGTTTGGTAAAATATGCATTGTTCAAACTGTAATATACAAACATAAGTTTTATTTCTATTAATTATTATTACTATATAATTTTTGTCCGTGTGCAAATTTGACAAAGGCCTTCTCCATTTTGAACCACATTTTTCTGTCCCTCGTTGTTCTGGATCATGCACTCCAAAAGAGCCTATCATCATCATCATAATCAGCCTTAATTTATCCACTGCTGGATGAAGGCCTCCCCCAACGATTGCCACAATGCCCGGTCCTGTACCGCCCACAAAGAGCCTATACACACATTAAATTAGTGGTAATGATAAACTAGTAGGATCGACGATAGAAATTTGTAGGTTACAAGTTTTATTTATTTAACTGAAACAAATGAGCAATACGTATAAAACATTGAAGCTCTTTGAGAAGACAAAGTATATTTTTATGTACCAAAAAATCCATTAAACTGTAAGCGATAAGTGCCAGAGGGGTTTTTCGCAGTCGTATTGTAAGATTAGCGAACCAAAACGGCGACAGATAAAAAATCGCTCCTAAATTAATATTGCACGGTTAAGTTTCCCTGTTTTAGAGATGAGTTTAAGTACAATAATCTTACAATTAAATAAGCACAGAAACGAAATATATTTATAATAAAAGATGCCAGTTAAATGCCCGATTTGTTTGAAATGAAACAATGTATGTAATATAATAAAATGTGAACTAGACCTAAATATGTAAAAAAACGCATACATCTTTGGAATTTGTCGCGATTTCAACTAAACTGTTTCCGTTTTTATTGTTATTTCTATTGCAAATATTTGTGCATTTGGTTTTGAAGTAACCGTAAATTTTAAGTGTTATACTCATTTAAGCCTCAATACAATCAAATCAGTCAGTCTTAAAGAACTATGACTTTCTACATACCGGCAGTTGATTATTCTATCTTACTATTTATCTTACTAATATTATAAATGCAAATGTTTAAGTGGATGGATGTTTGAAGGTATCTCCAGAACGGCTGAACGAATCTCGATGAAATTTGGTATGAACGTCGAACATATTCCGGAAGAACATATAGACTACTCATTATGTTTTTTTTATATGCGCGGACGGAGTTGTTGGCGATAGCTAGTATCAACATATAAGTTCAAATATTTCTTATATACTTGTAAAAAAGAAGATATAAAGATTGCGAATATTACTCGTATAATATCGCGATCGGCTCCGCCATTTTTATTCGTCATTCAAACGAACCGGATTTGTGACAATACAGATAAGAGTTCAAGTGTACCGGAATTCCGAATTTAAAACTAGTTCCGTTCAACGGACGTACAAAGCGTAGGATGGAGTAGACTGTATAAATGGCAAAAATATCATAGTAGGGTAAAGTATTATTAAACTTAAATTTAAGTAACTGAAAAAAAAATAACAAACAAATAATTTTGTAGCCTATCACTAAGCAATGCTAACAAAGCTAATGTATGATAAAAATTAAGTTATGCCTAAATATATCACATAGTCTGTCTTTATTTCGGACAAAAATGTTGACCTTCAGTTGGACATGTCACATATCGTCGACGCTGGATCTAAGATTCCTTTTTTGATATTTTTTTTATTACCTTGTTTATGAAATGTATATAATTTAGTATTCAATCCCTTTGTACTAGGCTCGCGTGCTGACACGTTTTATGATCACCTAGTAGATATAGATCTACGAGCTACGAGAGTGCTTGACAGTTTGCGAAGTGGGTGGCGAGTCGATTACAACTATAAACTTTGTAGCATTTTATTTTACCATGCCACTGTGAAATACTATCATGAAATATATCAGGTGATGACAAGGATTAGGTTCCCTATATATTTTCATATTTAAAATAATGCGTTGCTAGTGTTACATTTACTAGAAAATTATTCACATTTGTGTACCATTTGCGTACATGTATCGATGACTTTTGGGCTATGACTTACAATATTTCTGCAAATTTGTACTTAGTCCAACCTCAGGTACTAATCCAAAGCCGCGACAAGAGTATAGTAAAAGCTTATTTCTTCAATCGTTGAGTAACCTTGTGTATTAATGGATGAACCGATAAAACGCGATAGCTGCATCAATGTCGTATGAAATGACAACTTAATCTCTGCCTATACCTCTTGACGATAGTCGTTGGTGTTTTTTGTTTTTAAATTCGACATTGTAATTTACCAGGGTCAATGAAATTCTCTTATTTATGAGATCCTAACTTCGAACAGCAAAATAATAAAATTAAGATCTTTTTATAGTTTCATTCAAGAAATATTATCGATACACGAAAATCAGGTTTATTAATCATTTATCGGGCCTCTTTAGTCATGAAGAGATCGTAGGACACTCAGGGCCGAAATGAAAAAAGCTGGCTAGAGACGGCGGCGAGCGTTGACCTGTTGAATGTTTACTGTCCTTGGTGGGCGCTCGGCAGGCGCTCGGCGGCCGGCGCTCGGCAGCCTGCGCCCGGTGACGTCACCGCTGAGGTACCGATGGGTTTCAGCACTCGCCGCGCCGCTACGCCAACTCCCGATTCCTGTTCCATGATAATAGACGCTTTTAAACGTCAATAATTATACTCTGTATTATTTGGATTATAGTTTTTTAATGTTAAATTATGTTGTGTATTATTATTTATATACATTAAATATATAGCTCGACCTCTTCTAACTTACTTAATTAACCTTACTTCTAGAAGCTACAATAGTAATAGTAATCCTACTAAGAATTCATTTACCTATACTATCTTACTTTTACAATGAGATTATTAAACTAGATAAGCTGAGCTATGTGGTTTGTAAGAAGGATGTCCTTAATTTGGACAAAGTAGAGACGAAACCGTCGCGTTACAAAATATGGCGAATTCAAAGACTTAGAAAACTTATGCAATCTAAACTCAACCATCGTCATAAAGAATCAGAGATTGTGAGTTAAAATCGAAAATCAGATTTACTAAGGTACACCCTTTACTAGTCGCTATATTGATAGTAAAGTCAAATATTTTTTAAAATAAAATAAATGCCCGACTAACACATTACAAATAAACACATCAGATAATATTTTATTCAATATTATATTCTGTGTCTCGTGCGATAACATTAGGTTTCATAGAATTTAGTTATAGATAAAGACAGATACAAAAATAATTAAAATTCTGTGACACCGCGCACAATAATGAGTTCGTTGACTCCTGACCATCCGGCGCTCAATGAGAACGCAAGAATTTAAGCAAATACGATCATATGACGTAATGTACAGTCGCCGAAAGATGGAGCAAAACGTCTCACACGCTTATAAACGTTGATGAACGTCGAGTCTGCAATATATAAAAATACTTAGAATTTATTCTTTAAGTAAAATGTTTAGTTAGCAACATAGTTCTCTATAACGTGTGCAAACAAAATAATGTTGCTAATTCTAAGTTCTATTGTCTCTTTTAACTTATACTTATAAGACAGAGATAGATTTCGATGTCTGCTTTTCACTATGTTACCACCTAGTAACTAATCGATATCAACTAGAGAATGTTCTTAAAAAAATGGACTTTCAGACGTGTGTTTTATTAATACAAGTTTTAGGGGATTGAAATCTCTTTCACTGAATCTTTAACGGTACCTATTACAATTATTATTAATTTTAAAAATACAATATATTTTATGTTTTACACAGATTGGTTTATAGAATAATAAAAAAAAATTAAACATCTTTTAGGATATATATACAGTAATTCGATTTTGTTCAAATGATCGCTAATAAATTTACTATCGTGATTTAATAATAGGCGTGCCAAATATTGTTAAATAGAATTGTATCTCCGTCTTGATGAAACGAGGCACGAATGATCTTACTTTTCGTGCAAGTACAGTGTAATTTATTTGAAGACAAGTCATGATTGCCTAGTAATAGAACAATCTGATATCAAATATTATTGGTGCGAGATCACATTTTAAGCCTGCTTGTCTCCAAAATATTGTGAAATTTAAGTTCCAACAAATTAAACTTTAAAAACAAAAATCTGTCGTAGCATCAAAAATAAACCAAATTGTCTTATCCAATATTGTATTTTAATCATAAAATTTGTACGAAATCTCTGCTCGACAGTGGCATGATGTCATTGTGATACTATTTCAAAAATGACACTTTTTATGTTCTTACTTCGTTGCTGTTTTTTATCGCATCGCTACTTCTTCGTTTTGGAATATTTCTTAGACACGAACGTCGTTTGCGATTCACGTTAACGTTGTCCATTGTGCGTTGTAAATGAAAAGTACGTTGATAAAGTACATTATAACAGGTCTTTCTATATCTGTTCTAGTGGACATCGGGAAAAAGTGTTTGTCGCTGCGGTTGGGACGCGAGGTGAATTAGCACACGGGTGCGTCCTGTGAGAGTCGTGTGGGACGTGGGAGTGGTACTGGACTCGGCTGGTACTTCTACATAGTTGCGATCGGCGTTGTCTCACAGAGTTTTTGCGGCGGCGAAGGTCGGTCGAGGCGAGCAGCGCTCGGTCTAGCTGGCACGGCATACCAGTCTCTATGAATGAATAGTCGCTCAACTGGTCGCGCACATCGCACACTGACGCGCCTTCCGATTAATTTGACAACAAACACTTAAGTTGGCGAAAACCGGAATGATAGCCGGCGGCCCCGTGGGAAACGACGACTCATTTGTCTCAGTTTATTGTCTCCTTCGCGAACTCGTGGCGTACTGATGGTTCCGAGCGAACTGTCTACTGACATATATGTACAAAATTTTATTTCGTTTACTTTAAAAAGTATCAGCTGTAATAAATCATATACCTTATAGTTGTTACCTAATACTTCGTAATACGATAGACAACAGCTGAAGGGGCATGAAATGGTTTAGTAGTAAGTAGTTTCACACCCATTCCAGAATAGTTCTTTGAGAAGCTATGACGTCACCAAATCTTTGGGTATAAGACTGTATTCTGACCTCTTCCAAAAAATAAAATTGAATCTCTATCCTACTCTTATATAATAAAATATAATCTCGAATGTTCTAAATTCATTTTTAGTCAAACGATGGCATCATATTTTATTGGCCATCATATTTGTGGACCGGAAGAGCGATCATGTATTCATCACATAAAACCTTCATTCCATAGACTTGACCTTGACTAGATGTTAAGTTGATTAAATCATAGATATTTCGCATAAGTTATTCATAAAACGTTTCAAAGTATTAAAATCATGACGGCAACGTATTATAAGTTAGTATACCTTGAAACATTATACGATAGTTCCTAAAAAGTAATACACAATTTTCCATTAGGACATTCTAAAACATACATATGTATTTCAATGCTGGAAGTGGACCTTCAAGTATTCTGAATTTAAAGGGGATAAAAATAACATAAGCAAGAAAACATTTTACGGTGTTAGTCACAGACACAGTTTAATTAAAAATTAAACAAAGTAATTTTAATTCTAATTACATATTTTACTTAATTTAAACTTAGTTTCCGTAAAGGATAAGTAACGGTAAATTTCTCAGAATAAAAATACAAAAATAAAAAAATATCCTGTATGCGGTTTGCCTAATGACGTATTTTTTATCCATAAATATATTTACTTACTTTGAATGCATGGCAGGGTAGTTATAAATTCCTTGTATACAAATGTTACGTTACTTAACGTTACTTGCCTTAAAGTAATTGAATTCTAGTAATGATTTTTATCGCGAAAATACGACTGTTTTATATCATAAGGAAACTTTTGTTGTTTATTAATAACACGGACATATAAGAAGCGACAATCAATATTATAAATACATGTGCCTGCGGTAAAAATAAATGAGATGCAATGTTTTAAACATAAGTTCACAATATCCGTTGTAGTCTATGGGTAGTACACAATCACGTGGACGTTACGTCAAATACGTACGTTAGATTCAGATATGACGGCCGATAGAGATGTACGGAGAAGCATCACATACCGTGCCGACCCTCCGTAGGGATAAGGGCAGGTCGATGATGGTGCACATTACGTCATAGAATACTATTAATTTTTTCTATATAATTGTAGCCCCACATTGATTTTGTTCCATACAATATTTTGTAATTTGCTTTTAATTTTGACATCAAAGTCTTTATGCTGTTCGTAAGAAATTCTTACCATAATTAAGCTATGTGGGCTCTCGATATTTCCCAGTATAATAGTAAAAAACCACGAAAGTTTGAACTTATATATTTCTAAAGAAGATTGAGTTATATAGATCAAAAACCTTTAAAACGTGCGTATTAATTGAAAGTATAAAATAGAAAACGCAGACAGGTACTATTTCAACTAGGCCACGAGGCCGTCATATATTAAAATATATTTTATACCATTTGTAGCATTCTTAACAAGCTGTAAATATGTTAAACCTGCAAAAGATAAACATACATATATGCGTATTTACAAGTAAACATTCCAAAGCGTAGTTTTAAATTTTAACGCTGGTTTCCACTGCGACACAACAGAACATTAAAAAAATGTGTAGGATGACAATATGTGTTTGAAATTTTTGTGTTATTATAATTATATTATATTTTGTTATCCTATTTTATTTCTTGTTACGATTATACTCTTTATATCTGAGAGAGTTTACAGTGTAGGTGTGTTTCTACTCTCGTCCCTTCGATGGTCAAAGGCAAACATCAAAGTCTTAAGCTACATTTAGTAATCTCATCTGAACACAATCAAGTTTCATTTCAATCGGGTAATAGATAAAAAGCTAGGCTTTCTATATTAAGCGGGGCTCACGATTGCCTGGTTATTGATCAATGAAACTAACGCGTTGGAAGTTCCAAGCATTCACTGGTTAGTTATAAAAAGTAGTAAAAGCGGGCATTGCTCAACGGACTTAGTTAGTTTTTTGTGCAGTCCGCTAAGAAGTATCGAGTATGAATTACTGCATACATAATATTACCTGTCAGTCAACACTTAGCCAGTTTGAATGCAATATATAAATATTGAGCTAACACCTTAAGGAAATTTATATAAATGTACAGTTGGGTTTGTTGGCGATATACCAACTAACGAAAACCGATTCAACGTCTTATACGTCTTGGAACTTTAAATGTTGTAACAATATTAAATCCTAAAATACAAAATAGTCGGGGGTAGGTCAATAGCTTTTTTGTAAAAAAGAGACGAAGTTTATGTATCTGCAGGGTACGAGGCAATTTTTGTGTAAGTGGAATACCGCCTATGGAGGCGACTGTACATTGTCTAATTGTCATTTATGTGTTTAAGTGAATTGTATTATCAAAATAATTGTGTCTCTTTTATGTTTATGTTTAAAATAGCCTATTAAATTAGCAGGTGTATTTAGTACATCATTTTAAATTACATTTCTTCACCTGCTAAAGAAGGAACTAAAAAATTACCGCAAATTAATTATAAAAATTGAAGACATAAAATTAGGTGACGCGGTGTCGTAACATGACAAATTGGTGTGTAATTTTTGTGTGATTGTTATCACTCGCTTTACCTTGATAATAATTACCACATACACAGTAAATTTTGACGTCAG